TGCCTGAATTTGTGGACGGTCCGGCGTCAGTTGTAGATTAGAATCCAGTTTGGCTTTTTCGTTTGGTGTTGTTTCGGGTCAAAAACGTGTATTGATACCTCTCTTAGGATCCTGGGTCATGTTTTAATCAGTGGGCTTCCTGAATTCACTGAAAGTTTCTCGTCCGCTTCGTTGAAAGGTTCTTGCACTTTTATAACTCAGGTATATCCGGTCAGTACGGGTGTTACTGAATTCCCTTTCTGTAATTCGGGGGCGGAAATTGAATGGTTTTTTACCTGTCTAGCAACTTCTAGATCTCATCCATTGTCAGACCTTCCAATACCGTGGATAGTATGGAGTGTAGGGTAGTCGACCTGTAGCTACCAGGACTTCCTCCGTCTCCTTCCATAAAAATGAGTTACAATATGGCGTAATTACATTATTTAGAGGGTTAACATTACTCTGGTAAGCACCCCAGGACGTTAGGGATCGGTTCCATGGGCGTCTGGAGCAGTTCTTTAGGACCGCGGGCCTTGGGTTGTTGCAGCCAGGAAGCTCGCCTGAATGGAAACCGACTGCTTTTTCCTATCTCTTTTTCAGTGTGATGGGGATGCGTCGAAGGTTTTCATCACTAAGAGTTTGTTCGCTGTCATACCGCACCTGTAGAGATTTGCTGTCAGAAGTGCAGAGTTGCTCTTCAGAGCGTGAGCTAGAAGGTTTAGCTACCTTTGTTGTGCTCATTAAATCTATATTGGGGCCTGTGATAGGATTAACTCTGTAGGTGGAATTCCTGTTCGGCACGGGGCGGTTTAAGTCCCTAAAGTTGCTTTGTAACCTCTTTGCCAGGTTTGTTTGATAGATAGGCCTGCCGTTACAGACTCATACGTTGCAGCGGCTGCGAATTCCTTTGCAGATCACGAGGTAGGTTTGCCTGCGTAATCAACACAGGACTATTTATTTCACCTGTGTCCGGTGATCATGGCATTCATGAGGTACTTCCTCATGTTCTCGTAGTCGACCATGCTGTAGAGAGGGAAGGCACTGGTTACATATGGTTGCAGATGGAGAAAGTTATAATTGCATGATTGCCGGGACGAAGAAGCGTCCTAATACCCGTGTTCTCAGTGAGCATATCATCGCTCGCCGGAATGCAGCCCAAGAATGATCTACATCCGACCCCTGAGGTGTTACATCACCCAGTTTCTTCGAGTGACCAGGAACCCCAGAGTCACTCTTCAGTTTCTGACTGAAGGATCAAGTGCGTTTGTTTTCTGTCCCAAAGATGGCGGATGCAGCGTTAAAGGTTATCCATCAGGTGGACCACCCAAGAGGAGAACATAATCGGTTCAAAACCGACATTTTCATAGGAACTCCACTAGCATACCTCACCATAGGGTAAAGACGAGCGTAAGATCTAGCTTCTCCCCTCATAGAGTGTGTACAATATGAAGCGCCCCAACGAAAGAAATAGATAGACACCTCAGTTGACTTCCCCAAACAAATCATAAATGAACAAGTGAGTTCAAAAGGCTTACCATCAGCATTTCGCGGAAGCAGCAGAATACTCATCCATCACTGTGTTTCCTAAACCTAGTATTTGTAATAAGACTCGTCCCTTCTCCATACTGTTATCAATAACGCTCATGTTTCCATGCGGACTTTTAACTCCTCATTCTTCACACACCCTATATATAAAACCGGATTTTTAACAACGGTTAGTGCTTACTCGCAGGCACATAAAAGGCAGGATTTGAAAAAGGTTAGTGATAGTCTTAGCAACTCCGCTGCTCTTCCAAACAGATCAGGAAAAAACTTGCGAAAAAATTCTTCGAAATCGAGTCATTACCTCTAAAGCTGCTTGTGGGTGATCTGAAGGGGCTTTTGCTGCCACAGAAGGACTAAAATAGAAGGAAAATAACTGATCCACAAGATCAGCAGACGAGAGTTCAAAACTACTAGTTTCCTTTACCGACACTATTGATGTCGGATGCGACAGTCTTAATCAGAACAACATTGCTCGCTGAGAGGCAGGTACGTCCACCTAACGAGTCTGGAACACGATGTAAAACACATTTTGGATCCCACTGATTGCCAGTATCTGTAATTATAAGACTCACTATTTCTTTGTTTTTCTGACGCATTGCCTGCCGAGATCGCTACTGCTCTGTCTGTTGACAGTTTCAAGAAGAGGTCGAACAGTTATGCAGCGACGCGCGGCTTGTTCTCATCTAGCTGGGATATGGACCAGGCTGATACAACCAACTAACTCTGCACACCTCAACACGGCCAACCCATTACCGAATCCTTTGTAACACCACTATCATCGTGAACCTGGCTCAACCTTATACTTCACAGTAAATATCCCCCCATAAGCCATCCTATGATGTTATTCGCTTCTTCTCTTCCTGCTCACTTTACGTTCTTACACTATTTACTAAAAGCCCTCCCTATTCCCCTCCTCCACAAATCTACCGAGGTTTCTTCTTCCGTTCCACTTCCTTTGACCTCGTCGTTTTTTCTTTTGGTTCCTTTTATTCGCGCTTCCTTGCCCTTGATTCCTCTGGACATATTTTCTGTCTTCCTTCCACAACTAGTTCCACCAACTGTCTGTTGCCATGGCACTTGAGGAACCCATGTGCACCGCAGTCCTTGAAAAAACAACACACTCCCTACAAATTTTACAACACCCCGGCGACTCCGCGCTGCAGTTATATAACTTAGTACGTCAATTAGGTATCAGGTATTCTCGAAACTTGATGTTTGCGGAGTTTACTCAGTCCCTCATATCCCAAAGAAGGAGCTCAGTTGGCCTTTTGCTTAAGCACGCATACAACACCATGATCCTCCCAGAGCTTGAATATAGCACGATCGTCATCGGCAACATGTGTGCTTCGAACAGGATACACACTGAGAATGTTCAAAGGAAGTTAACCCGCCATTTGATGGGCCGTCATGAAGAACTTGATTATGAAGGAAGGCGTAAGAATCTGAGGATTGACTCACCTTGGCTATGACGCCTTAAGCTCAACCTTAACCTAATTTCCCGCCTTTTGCGCGGCATTATCCATGCTTGCGGCCCCCCTACGTTTAAGCCTACGTCCTCATACAGCCTACGCGATCGTGAATGCACTGTACCTGTAGATAAATAGCGCCCCGAACTTAGGTTATGATCCTTTATGGTACAGTACAGCAGGTTATAGAATAAGCTCCTACTCTGTATTCGCACTTGCATGCCTCCATCTCAGTTTCAACGTATACTCGACGAATTTCTTCAGTTCACGGATATCCACAAATTTCTTGACATCAGTGTTTTATCCACAAATGCGAAGTATAATGGAGCAATCGGCACGTAATCATGATCGAGCCACTCCGTCCATCGCCAACATACTTGGACCTCTAAATGTATGAACCAGAGTTGCTGGAGTCCCTTAGTTCCGCCTACACTGATGGGTTTACGATTGCCTACAAGGGTGTGCGTACTAATTCTCCTTCGTGTAATGAACCTAATGAATACTGTTTTCCTCTCAAAGCCACTACGATACACCCCAAATTTAGAAATTTTTGAGAACCTTATAATGAAAAAACTATGCAGCTGACTCTACATATATGCACGAAAATGTAAATAAAGTTCAAATATATCTAAAAGAATAAGGACTTCTCTCTTCTCCAAACTGAGCAGCATACTAATTCCCTTTTCCGTTCCTGTTTGTGCATCTTTCTTTCCCCATTTTGCAGCAACAGCTTGATGAGGACATTTGATTCCGAATTTCAGTCCTAACGCAGCCACTTAGTGGACATAATACCTGCCATCTGACGCCAGTAATTATCAGACTGCTCCCACGTTTTCGCGATTTCCCTACCATCTTCACGATTTGCCCACCTGCCGGTCACGATTCTTCTTGAGCCGAACCGTCCAATCTTTTCCAACAGTATGAGTAGCAGAGACATTCTGAACAAATGATTACATCAGAGACCAATTTACCTATTGGCACGGAACGAGACTTGCCCGCGGTAGCTGGATACTACATGCCTTGTAATACTCTGCATCAAGTGATCTTTTCATATGAAAGTTGTTACGCATCAAATACACTTCTCGGACAATACTGATACAAACGATACCCCAAGTCTATGTACAAACACTGCCATTTGGACCACTAACTGTTTCAACGTTTATTTCCATCCAGAACAACAAGTATTCCCAATGGAATCAACCTATATTACCTTTAAACTCAGCATGGTGACCTGGAAATGCGTTGGTTTAGGCACTCACCTAGTTTGTATAGCTATGGTACTTTAGTACGCGTGTGTCTTTTGTGGTTTGCGAAGCTAAATACTGAGGAACTTTGCAATGAACAGATGGTTAAAATACTGAAAATACTGAATAACAAACTATGCAAATGGACTTACAACGTCGGCTGGTTACAATGCAAACTTCGAACTTTGCGCGCTTTTGTTACTGATAGCGGAACTTATCTGTGTGATGGAAAATGCAAATCCACGCCCTTCTTATGAATTGCAGCATCTTTTATTGAGATAATGCACATCGATGACTTGATGTTAATTATTTGATACTAAATACTACTTCGTAAGCTTTCTAAAATTATCAGTTTGACGATGCTTGTAAACTGGTATCTTTCATGTTAAATCCATAACATCTAAACTAAAACACTCTACGAACTCTGAAAACTGATATTTTCTTGTTGCATTCATAACTAGCAGGAACGCCGCCTGTTTTATTAGAGTTTGAGGACATTCCATGTGTACAATTCAGGACTGGTAGAATCTTGTAGATTTTTCGATGCATGTCAATGTGGTGACGTCTGTAAGCTGGCTTCTCTCATGTTAAATTACTATTGAGAGAATAAAACATTCATTTATTTATTTACAGACGCCCTTCGAGCTAACCAGAGCTACAGCAGTCAAGTGGATAGACCTACTGCATCAGAATCCGCCGTAGGCCTGGGAGCAAGTGAGAAGAAATCGACTGGTTTACGTTAGGTCGTAAAAGTGCATTGGATATTGGACTCGATGTTACCGACTTTCCTTATTTGCGGTTATTCAAGGTTAAACGATGCAAAGAAGTTTGCTGAACTTCTTTTCATGTTCTCCAAGGCCTTTAGTTGACTCTTCAAATACAATATGTTCAGAAAAATCCAAGTCTACAAAACTAGTGAACAAGGTGTCTAAGTGCGTTGAATTATCAGATGGGAATCACAGAGAGGTAAACCCTACTTCTGCAAGATTGTTTATTGAAATATATGCACTTCTTGTCTCAGAACCTCACTTCGTCTGCCACTAAACGACGACGGGTTATCTTTGAGTCCAGTGATGAAGATGAAAGTGAAACTTCCTTCCCGTCAGAAGGAAAGATAGCTCCTACCAAACATGATGTGAGTTACTGTTTTAATCCATGATTTTAGTGACAGTTATCAAGTTATTCTCACTCTCCTCAAGTAGCTGAAAGATGCAGTGTAAAGACAGATGAGTTCATGGACATATCAGAGACGAGTGGAGCTGCAGAAGTCAATGAATCTTTCTTTGATGGTGATTGTGTGTCGTGGACCCACTTGTCCCTTCCTTTTTTGGATCCCACTCAGATCAAAGATATCAATGGTAGAAAGCCCGACCACTCTAATTATGATCCCTGTACATTATATGTCCCAGAGGAGTTCAAGGTTTGTTCATGTGTTCGGTTAAGTATTTTAGGCCAAACAAACTCCTGGCATGCGCCAGTGGTGGGAAATGAAGTCACGATACGCCGATGTTATCCTATTCTTTAAAGTTGGTAAATTCTATGAGATGTATCACATGGATGCTATGATCGGCGTTAAGGAGCTCGGGTTGGTGTTTATGAAGGGCAACTTCGCTCATTGTGGATTTCCTGAAGTCGCTTTTCCACGTATGGCTGACCAGCTTGTTCACAAAGTGGGTTCTTCATGCCTTTTTAATCGAATTAATCCAAGGGTTATAAAATTGCTCGTGTTGAACAAACAGAATCAGTTGATGCTATGGCTGAAAGATGTCGAGGTAAATCTTCAAATGAAAAAGTTGTGCGAAGAGAAATATGTCAGCTTATTACACCTGGGACATGTACAGCTAGTACGCGTTCGGAGATATCTGATGTGAGATCTCCCACAGTGGATGGGGAGACCCAGGATGATAGCTCTAAGAATTCGATGGACTCCATTTATCCGGATTCATATTTACTTGCACTGGTGGAATTAGAGAATAGTGGAAATAGTTCTTTTGTCTTTGGGATAGGTTTACTTAATGCATCCACCGGAAAGATCAGTGTAAGTCGATCTTACTTTCCTCATACAGACACAGATTGGTCAGTTCCTTGATGATCGTCATTGTTCCAAGTTGCGAACGTTCTTATCTCACCATCCCCCTAGTCAGGTAAGAGATTTTTGCTTTATGCGTTTTTTTTGGATTTTTTTAATACTGAATTGGCTTTGTTTGTGGTATCTAGTGACTTTTAAACCTCAGAATAGTTAGCTTCGTGTCCATTTTAAGTTCTTTGCAATTTATGCACATTTTGTTACGTTCCATTAAACTTCAGTTTACTCTGGATGTGATGAACTTAATATATTTCGTTTGTTCACTTATAGTTCAGTATCATTAGCTAAGATTCCGAATCTACTATTTCTCGATATCAAAGTGCCGATGGTGATGTGCATTTAAAAAAGTACAGTTTTCAACCACTTGCACTACCGTCTTTTCGCTCACATCTGTTGTTACAGTTAGTAGTTCCATCTGACTGCACAAACTTAGTTAATTGAAGCAAATTTTAAACCCATGACCCATTGGTTGAAAGTCGAGTGCTTATGTCAGTGTGCTGCAGCTTTGCTGGCGCGCAATCAACACAATACTAATATGGTTGGTTGGAACATGAGACAATACAAAAAACTTTTCAAATTGTTTGTTAACATCACTACAGGAGTCAATGTTAGGATACTAAGTGAATAATCGTCACTGTTCATTCGCAGTGTATAGAAGGTTATTTGATTAATGGGTGCTTATGTGGAATCCTGCCAGTTAAGTAATGAGTGAAAGTGTATCGTTATCCATTGTAGGCAATATTCAGCCTCCAGTGGCAGGTATGGTAAGTTAAACAGCCTGTGTTTGTCTTTCCAGTATTTATTTCTGTGAAGGTCCATTTTCTCCCTGAACGTTAGGCCGATTTGTAATGAAGCTTTGTTAATTACCTTTCCGGCAATTAGTCGTCTCAAAATCAATTACACTGGCACCTACGTATTTGCCTTTTATTTTCATTAAGGTTTTAAATATCTAGTAAATCCGATTTACTTATTATTCTTCCTCTCAAATCCTTTTCGTTTGCCCATTTATCGCACTTCTTTTCATTTGCTCCTCGCGTTTTTGAGAAGTGTAGAAACTTAAACCCTTAAGCTTTTGTCCGAAGGATCACATCTATCTGTGTTTAGCTTATAATTATGCTCGTTTTTCATTAAAAATAGAGGACGAAGTCTGACGTGACGTACTCTGGTCTTTACTTGCCGCTGGATATACTTCGTGTGGTCGTTAGTTATCGCTGGCGAGTCAATCAAATATTACTGCTCCTCGTGGGGCATATGTTGAAACAATGATCACGCGTTTTTTCGAGTACCTGTTTGTCTGGACCTGAATGGGTGTAAAAAAACTGCAACTTCAAGACCGTTATGACCACAAATTGATGATAAAAACACTAAGGGTGCTTTCAACGAGGAACTGACCGGGCAGTTATCTGGGTGTCCCTCATCTTGAAGATATCCTCAATATACCTATACGATAGCAAGTGGTGTGAATTAAGCATTTCCAATTACTGGGTCTCCGGTTTTAATCTTGCCCCACCTACATCAGCCCTGTAACCGAACTGTATCACGAAAAGAGCTCATAGCCTATATGTAGGGTAGGAGGAACTGCTATATGGAAATGTATTGCAAACTATTGCTTTTATGTAAATATTTAGTGGCACATCAAACTTCGACTCTGTCTGTAGTATCACACATAGATAAGAATTGAGTTCAGAATAAGCATCCATAAAGAAATGCTAGTCTAGAACTGAGTGTTGACTAATTTAAAGTAGTTGCATCATAAATTTGAGAAGTTACCGACCAAACAGTCAGTTTTTCTATCCTCGTACACTGATGTATTCACTTCAGACCTGCAGTAATGATAAAGGTAGATGATGTATGCACGCAAGTACGTCATGTGCTGGAATTCAGTGTCTGTGAAGTTTAAGACTATGACTCGGTGAAAAGATTAAGTTGGGGCAACTAGAAAATAAGTACGCATGTTAGTTTGCACCTCTTTTCAGATGTAATTGGCAAAACACACTAACTGATCCAAAACCTCTATGGCAAACATAAAAAATTAACAGGGGTGTCCTATGGTTGAAGTCGACATTACTTGACTGAGCAGTTTGACTCAATGCGTCAAACTATGAATTGTTAAAGTATTTGTATAGGTACGCTGTTGCTATCTTAAGTTCTGCAGTGCAGAAATCTAAAGAATTAAGATAGCGCAAATTATGTGATTGACTAGAATAAAATATGTTGATAAATGTCACGTCCACGTTAATTAGTCGGAATCTATGGCGTGTGACGTTGAAATATATCGGTTTCTGAGCTGTAGCTCACTGGTTTAGAAAGATGACTTTCAAACAGTGGACCACGCGTCCGAGTTCCTCCCCATTTACTGGGGTTTGAGCAGTCAGGCTGCCAGTAGTTTCACAGCATAAACTCATAGCTCCATCCTTCTTTTTCTAGCTGACTGAGCAGATGGAACTCGGTAGCTTTTAGCTAAGCCTTGCGTCACAGGTCTTGGTCGACTAAAGTTCCTACCCCTACTGACAAACATGACAATGAACTGAAACCCTACATCTAGGTTCATAATCTGTTTGGCAACATAGTTTCGTGTCCCTCGAATCAGAAATAGAAACAATGTACAGTTCCACACGTGTCTTGGTTTATGTCATTGTGATGCACAACTGACTGAACAAATCAACACAGAACGTCGCATAGAAGTGCAGTGCCTCAAGTTCCCGCACTACAGAAGTACATAAAGAACAGATAAGGAATGATATCAAAGTAGATCAAGTAGTGTCAGAAAATAAACAATCTGACGATAAAGGTAAGTACGGATATTCAAGCTTTAGATGTAAAGGAGTAGATACATCTGCGCCATTGCGGCCGATTTTCAACCATGTCACGAAGAGTCCTCATCCACTGATTCTTTTCGTCTCGGGGACCCCGACCAGGCAGTCTACATCCTCACAAACGACTCAGACTACAGACTTCATCGACTGGTACCAGGTCTTGGTCTTATCACCCTGAATCCTGTTCCAGTCTAATCCGAATTCCCCTAACGTGGCACATTGAGGTAGGCAGTGGCTTGGCATGGGCAGTACATATCCAGACCATCTCAATCGGCTAAAGCTTACAACCTCATCAGTCGACTTGTCTTTCTTATCTAGTACCTTTTGCCTGACCTCAACATTTCTCACACAGTGATTCCACCTAACATGAGCAATACTAGGAAGATGTCTATGATCAAAACTCTGTGACGCCTTCACGTCCATTTTTAACGGCTATATCTGAGCCGTACAACAGGACGTAACGGACTGCAGTGGCGCAGTATACCGGTTATTTGTTAGATAGTCGGATATCTCGCTAGTTGATGCCACAGATGACGCAAGTTGGCAAATACTGTATGACTTCGAGTACAAAGCTTTGACTAGCGTTATATACTTCCTCGGTACTCCCTTCACAGTCAGACACTGCCACAACACCTTATGGTCGACTGAATCAAATGCTGCCTTCAAGTCAAGAAATGTGGCAAGCATCGGTTGCCGGCAAGTGTGCTTGTTTTTCCAGAACCTGTCAAAGAGTAAAATTATGATCGATGCACCCTCGAAACCAATGTGAATTTCCCGGGTCTGCTCTTCTCGAGCTGAAGTTAGGCATCGGATAACTATAGACCTTAGGATCTTGAACACAATATCAATCAAACTAATTCCTTTGTGGTTGTCACAAGAGGGTTTCTCTCCCTTCTTATGGACTGGCATTCCCTCTGATTCCCATATACTACGCAGTACCTCCGTCAATCTAGTCAGTAATTTCTTACTTCTGTCCTTGAAAACTTCAGGCATCAAACTGTCATATTCTGCTGCTTTACTTTGTTTCAGGTTCGATGCAGCTTTCTCAATTTCAAGGAGAGTTGAAGGACCGACATCTGCATCCCATTCAGGTTTAGGCTGGATGTTGGGCTATTGAAGCGTTGTTGAGGGTCAGTTGAACTGTGATTCAAAGTGTTCTGCTCAACGTTCTAGCCACCTGTCCTGGAAGGTTATCGTTACATCCTTTTGGGTGATAGCTTCACTAACCATCGTTTTCTTCTTACCAGTATCCTTAGTAAGCCTTAATATTTTCCGAGTGTTATTCAACACTGATGCTTTCTCCATCTTTCACGCTTTCGCCACTCACCACTGCTTGCGATCGACTCTAAGACTCTTGGTCAACTTATGTTTGAGTTGGTTTCGCTCTTCATCGTGACCAGAGCCATCTGGAATGACTCTTTTTGCATCAGTCAGTCGGGATGACGTTGCGAAAATCCAATGATGCTTGCTAACCTTCGGACTTGGGTTACCAACTGCTTATACCTCTGTTTCTAAAGCAGACGTAATATCACGACAGGCTTCCTCAGGATGAGTATTACTATCACGTCCAAGTAAATGCTTAGCTAACTCGTCCTTAAATACGCACTTGATGTCCTCATCTTCCAATCGAGTGGTGATAGGCTTTACTATCACCTACTTCCTGCGGCCAGTAAGACGCAGGCATACACAAACCTGTACTAGCGCATGATCGGAATCCAAACTAGTACTCCAGAAAGGGAATCAATCCTCCACCGATCCTTTCCAACGATGGCTTATAGCAATGTTGTCTGTGTCCATCGTTGGTTTAATGTCGACGAACGTCATGTGAGACAGTGTCACTCTTTATGTATAAAGTTAGTGCTCGCCAAAAACAAGTGATTGTCGGAGGAAAATTGTAACATGATCACCGTTGTTGGTTCATCGGCTTCGGATTCGTAAATACCCCCAAGACGCCTCTCCTATTGTATCAACTTTTTTACTTCAGCGTAGAAGTCACCTGCTATTATGACTATATCTGAATGTTTTGCTTTCTGTAGCAAAGTTGACAGCAACCATAGGATTCATCCTTCGCATCATCCAAACTGCAGTCGGTGGTTGCGGAGTTAGAGATTACGAATAGGCATCACCTAGTTTCGCGACCCTTCCTAGTCATCACAGTTCCATTTAATCGAACAGTATATAGATGACTGTTGACTAGTATCCAGTCGAGAGGCGCATTTTCTGCTTTACCGCTCAATGCGATGCCTACACCAGCGAGTCCATGAAAGCTGGCCATTGCATCTGCGGATACTTGTAAGGTGGATTTTGAAGATTCACTACTAGGGGAAGGTGAGGTCAATTTACTAACCACGCTTAGATCCTGTTTGGTTGAATTTTGGTTGTTCTAACGCCGGATAGGAGAAACCTATACCGCCAGCCCCAGAAGACTGTGTGGCAGGCGGAGTGTGTCATTTTCGGGCCTGCCTTTTTAACCCCCTGTCTTACCATTGGGAAGGCAGTATCGATGTGGGGACCAAGATAAATAAGAACTTATTAAAATGACTGGAAAAGACGTCTCGTTTTGGTTATTCCTAGCTTTTTTGTAATCTTGGTCTTACTTCAACCTTCATGTACGTGTTGGTTACGTAGTGGCTTAAAACACAACATATTTCAGTAGTTTCATTTTATTTAGTTCAGAAGTCTTGTTAACTGATTAACCTTCCTTATTAGAATGTCAAACCAAGCCCTTCAGAACGCTCAGTATTCTATGCTTGTATGAGCCATACGTACTGCAGTTTTCCCACTTTATGACTATGCAATTTAATTATCATTTGGGTAAATTATTGATTTTTCATTACAAGGGGTTACGTTTTTGTTTTCCCTACTAGTTACTTATCGAACGTGGAGCTACGGGAAGTGCTGTAAAGTCTTTAACGAAAACCTCCCTGCTGTGCGTTCCAACTGAATTTCTCATTCCAGGAAAACAGTTTTGGAGTGCAAAGAACACCATCGAAGAGTTAGAAAAAGCCGATTATTTCCTGAAACGAAAATCTGATGTTGACAATAGTGCAAACGAACTGCCTAACTCGTCATCGTTTCCGGAAAAAGAAAATTGGCCAAACGTTCTTTTAAACATGTTGTCTCAAGGTTAGTGTTTTCAAGGTTATGAGTGATTTTCCCATTGCAGTAGCATATAAATTCACCTCTATCTTTTTAGCTCTGTATTAACTGGTTTAAGGAGTTGAATGTAGCGAAACGAATTGTATCAGTGACATATGGGTGATACTGTTGCTTGATAGCGCAAATCACAGGTTGAAGAGTCGTTAAAGAAGTTCAGTGCATGATATCTAAATCTTTATCTTACAGTAGAAAATCACTCGATATTTGTGGATGCCTTTTTAATAAAAAGAGTTTTGGGGTCTTGGAGAATACGTATGGTCAGTAAGCTCTTACGGCATGGGCAGTATCTGTCTTCCAAGTGAATCACTCCAATAAAGTCTGAACGGAACCTCGTTAGAACGTGATTTTGTATATTAAAAAACCTTTTTACTAACTGCCGTGTCAAATCCAAGATGTGTTCTGAAAGATTTTCTCTCTGAGTATCCATACTAGAAAACCCCTCAAAAAGTACATTAAAGACATAAAAGAGGAAAATCTCGTATACATTGCTTCCAAAATACCAGCATATATCAAGCGTTCTCAAAAGTGAACCACAATACAACAAATCAAAGCAAATTTAATCGATTCAAGTTACCATACCTCACAGCTTCATGCAAATAAAAATGTTTAAAAAGGAGGAGTACTGAAGCAAACGAGGAAATAAATAAATAAAAGTTAGTGATAATGTTCATACTTTCGGAAACACCAAAGAGTGAATATATTTGCACCATTGGGACCAGTTTGCAGCTGTCACCGGGATTCACCAACCATTAATTCCTGTCATTTATAGGACTCCAGTCAGACAAGTCTACGCCTCCCTACACGGTTCAAACCAGCGGTCACAGTCTTAGCAGACTGATGCCACGTGTTGGACTGGTCACCCTGAACCTTCTTCCAACCCAATATACTGCTTCAGCTATTATCTCACATTCATTTAGATAGTGGCATGGCATGGACAGTGCATGTCCAATCCACTTCACTCGGTGAAGCTTCACAGTCTCATCGACTGACTTTTATTTCCTGCCCATCACCGTTTGCGTAACTTTGACATTGTTCACACACAGAGATTCCAGCACATGAGCAATGCTGTGAAAACAAATGTCAAAAACTTATAATGTCTTCATAAATTATACTCTCAGCGGCTGTTTCTCAGTCATACTAATGGGATAGAGAAGAATACTGTTCAGTATACTCGATCTTTAGTGGGTAGTCGGATAACTCTCCAGCTTCAGAGCTGGCGTGAGTTCACAAACACCGAACGAGCCTTGGGAAACCTACCTAGTATTTCACCAGCAACCAACCCATTCAGGGTGATCCAACAATTTTGGAGAAACAGGGCACAAATCTTCATATGACTCCAAGTTTTTGCGGAAGAGACTACTTAGGTAATACGATGGGTGGTCGAGTGGTTGTTCATATGGTTACCATATCCAGATATAATGGTCCTGAAAATTCCACCATGAACTGTTTTCTGAATGACATATGTAACTTTGGTGTAGTAATTGTTTCATAGTGGTAAGCATACAGGGAAACACGAGAGCAGTAGCGTTTGCCAGGGTTTTCGCTGATTGAATGCATGAAAAAAACCTGTTTTTCTCAGTTTCATTTTTTGATTACTTCCTTTGGTGGTTGGGTTTTTTATTGTTTCCATTATTATTCAACATACACTTCTGTAATCCATACTTTCGGAGCATCTTTTTGACACTGAGACACTTATCCACAGTGGCTTAAGTAACCTTCAATTTATCTAATTTTCATATCCCCTTCAAAGTTTTTACATTTTCCCTTTCCACGTGAAATTTCGGTGTTGCTGATTTAGTGTGGTCATGTTTAATGTTTCCATATTCGTCTATCTTTTCTTAACGTTGCACCGAAATATTTCGAATATTCGTATGAGTATTGCTGAAGTTTATGAATTTATTGAATCATACCCTTTTAACTTTCATTTGTTGTTTTAAGTTCCTCTCGGGGAACAAATGTTGTCAACAAACTATTTTAGTTGCTAAACATTGCTATTCAGTACGAGGTGGCAATAGGATTCAAGAAATTGCTAGTTGATAGCATACAAGACTACTGTATTTCGTAACAATAGGTAACACGAGTTTGTCTTTATGGTGTTGGTTTTACGAACTCTAACCGTGATGTAAATTAGTAGAAAATTTTTCGAGACACTTAGTCGGATCTTCTGAAGCTACTCGTTGTAATTTTTAATAAGACTCACAGTCGTAGATTTCTGCATATTTTTCATTATTTTAAAGTTTTTTAATCTCTGTATCCTTTCGAAAGATTTCTGCTTATTTCTGCTTTTTATGTTTCTACAAATCGTGAGGAACTTGCACCGCTCTAATTTTGTCCAAAATAAAATATCTATTTGTTGTTAGGTGCTATATTGGTTAGTGTAAATATTTTCTGAAGAGCTTTATGAACAATTTATGGGAAAAGAAACAAAGTTAACCATTGATCAGTCGAATAAAATGCGGAAAACTTAGAAGCCACATGCTTGATGGAACAAAACACGTCTCAGGTGAACATAACTTGATTCCATATTAGATTAACCTGCATGTAATAGCACATAGTTATGCAGTGTTATTGACTAGATCTAGCGTTACTGTGTACTATATTAAAGTAGACTAATCTTATGTGAAATAAATACACTCTACCACTGCTTAAATTCTGTAATTATGTGAAGTAAAATACCACTTACAAATCTCGTTTGTTACCGTGCATTATGCATTTGGCTTTTCAAGCCATAAAACGGTGGGATCTATAAGAAAAAGCACAATCAGCTGTATATGTCATACTGGTGTGCACTTCCTTTCAAATGTATTATTTCTATAGTTCATTTCATTGATTCAGTCGTCTTCATTGCGGAAAAGCATCATATACTGAGATTAATAGCGTTTCAACTCTAAAAACAAAGATACTTTGTTCAGATTCAATGACAGTCTCCTTTTCCGTCTTTCTTGTTAATTTTGACTCATGATCAGCTTGCAGTAACTATTTCATGTCAAGTTATCATGTAAGATGATGAGAACTAATAGTATCCATCCAGGTTCCGTTATCTTACTATCTACTCATGTTCTATAGACCCGCTGATGAACGTATGTTTTTGTCTTACTAGCAAGGGATCTACCCGTGTACTCTGAGCAATGATACAATAGTACTGGTTTGTTTCCACATCTAGTTAGACAGAAGGGCTGACACATATGTGCGCCAATTATTTTATCTACCTGGAAAAGCTGTGCCAACCGTGATAAGCTGATAACTAATTTGATCTCTGCGTAAATATGAATCAGCGGATTGATTTCCGCTACCGTCCTGTATTTGAAGTAAGGTGAAACTTCTTGGTATATATATATATATATATATATATATATATATATATATATATATATATATATATATATATATATATATATATATATATATATATATATATCAGAAACCATGCCAATGGTATGTCACTGTGCTCCACGGAAGGGCAATGATGAGGTTAGGTGTAGGGTTTTTCAAGCAGAGAACAAGTCTCTAAACTGGGTGGTTGGGACGTATCTTGCTCACCTCATCATTGTTTACCTGAACGAATGATGCTGACCAAGGTAATAAAATAAAAAATATCAGAGGTAGCCTAAGAAGTATTATTAAAAATCTGATTAATATATGAGTTGTTCCATTGCTAATGAAAGTGTATAGGCTTCTTGACTAGCGATCAACTGAACGCAAAATGTTTGGTTAGAAACCTACAGTGATGTAGTATGAAGACGATTACATTGACTTAGGAGCGTCTACACACTCTAAATGTTAGCTGTTTTGTTTTATATATTCTTACTTTCCTTTCTCTATCGAATGGTCACAGTTTGTTTCACTACCGCTGTTAATATTTCCTGTCTCGTGTATGTCGTTCTCGATTTTGACGTGAAGTGTTACTCATTTAAATCACTTCCTACATATTTTCATAGAATCTACTTTTCTAATGCATTGTAAATAAAGTTGACATGTAACTGATCTAGTGTTCATCTTTCTGACTTTTTTTTTAACATTGATCGAGTTTATAAATTTTCAAGAGTTAATTCATTTTACACTTTCGGCATCGTCTTTCTGATAAATATTGACGACGAACCTACTTTATGATGCACTTTTTAATGGGTTACAAAATAATAGATTTTGTGAACAGGACCTCCAGCTTCTGTTTGAAGAATGTCCTGTGAACGTATTTTATTTTCAATACGTAACAAAATCTTTCTTGTCCTGTGTTTCTGTCTAGATGATCCGCTGGGAAGAACAGTCAAATCCGAATGGGAATTAGCTTTTCGGTGTCTTGGTGCTCTTGTATATTACTTGCGTTACTGCCTTATTGACCGCGAAGTTATGTCGTTGGGTTTTATTGATTTATATGTACCGTCAGATATAAAAGATGATATTTTCCAAGGAAGTGCAGACTCTACAGAACACTTTTATGCGAAACAATCTTGGATGGTAAGTTGGAGATTTTCAAGTCGTAAATTTATTCTGTTCCTCATAAGTAAGTGGTTAGATTTGTTAATTCAACTATTAAACTTTAAGTTCTCTTAAGGACCCAGCCTCAATGGCGTGTATACATCCAAGGTGGTTTCAAAAAATGTCGTTATATTACTTCAAAACATTGCAAAAGTTTTGTAAATATCGAATAGTCCTTCAGGCAATAAAAATACTGCTTCGAAAACTAACAACTCTTCCCCGATTTTCGATGAGAATATTTTAGTATTGTGATGGTTTTTATATAACTGTTCAAAGTTATTTTAACGCTGACTTTCATCACTTTTGCGACACCACTTTTTTGTCGAATCATATTCAGTGATCGTCGTGTGTCAACTTTGAATGAAATTGTTTGTTCATTGTACCTGTTGTACTTACAGACTGCAGTGTTCATCATGTGAGTTGATTATAGCAATCCGATAAGGAATTAAAGCGTTTGTTTATTTTTTTATGATGATACTTTCACATTGGCAGGATGGTAATGACACTGGTTGTTTCTATTGGTGAAGGTAAAGAAGAATTTAGACGCCTTACCTTGTTGGTGTACTTGTCAAGAACAGGTGATTGGTAATGTTACTGCGGCATAGTTGCAAGTATGCATTTTAATGAATACCGATAGTAACATCATTCAGATACTTAAATATGACTTGGTTTTAACTATGTATCATAGTAATACTTATTACATAGGTTTCATGTTCAATTAGTACACAGGAGATGCATTCCAGTTTTGGCTAGTGGGAGAACTTGAGGTAAGGTGTGGTAACTTGAACCGTTATGCAGTACTTCTGAGTCTCATGTTAATACTGATTAACTAAGTGGGACAACCGTATTTTCACTACTTATTATTTTGTGTAAAAACGTTTACAGGTTTTGGATAGCATAACGTTGTCCAACTTGGATATTGTGCGCAATAATGTGGATGGTTCACAGGAAGGGACTTTATTGCAGCGTCTCAATACGTGTTGTACTTTCTTTGGTATGTTTCTTCTTAACATGTCTTTCTAAAACGTTATTAAGTGGTCTTTAAGCTTTATCTTTTGTGTCTATCGTATTCAGAAACTCAATAGCAGTGATACATAGAAAGTCAAACTTGTATATTAAAAATAGTAATGGTTTTTTGTGTTTTAAATGACTAACAGAATTAATTTGTCTACAAACATAAAAACAGTCCATAACGGATCAATGAATGACTATCATTAGGGATTCATGGTGTAGTTTGTCGAACTGGAAAAGTAGTAATAATAATATTCTTCCAAAACTCTTATTTGAAGACGGTACTATATCCTTTGTCTGCATCTTAAGGTTTTCAAGCTGAACTTCTATGTCCATTTTATTAATTTTGATTTAACTATCACATTACTCAGAACCAAAAAATGATTCTTCCAAAGTAGTCATATAGAGAAAATCACTCGAAAAATGATGGACGTGCCAATCTAGATTGGAAAAGAACTTTGTTAATAAAGTTTGGCTTTCCTACCTATCTTTGAATTATCTGAATTCTTTTATTTTCTGTTGATGAAAGCTGACTTTAAATGATCTTGAAGCTCCTGTACTATGTAAAATGGCGAAATATTTCGTCAGTTTACGCATGCGTGACTTCCTAAAATCAGTCCAACCGATTATGTGACGTTTAAATGGTGTTTTCTGTGGTTAGACTCTGGAGAGGCGCAGGGTCTTTTAATGGATTCTAAGATAATGATTCTCTTCTACACATCTACAAGTAGTATCCAGAAAAGTCTTTGGTTCACTGAAACTTGCTCTACACTTCAGGTACTATTGCGGAACCTTCAGCGCAATTCTGTGCTGTTATTGGTTCAGCTCAGTGAAAATCCTCATATAAGCATTCAAAGAACAACAATCTAACGGAAGAAATATTATTTTTCACTTAAACTTTCATCAGTGGCTCTGCACTGCTATATAGGCTTATGAGAACAATGCAATAACGTTTTGATCTAGCGGTACTTGGTCAATATGAATAGATCGGAATACCAATTTACTTGTGAGCAGTTAATTAACTAGCAGTAACTACGAATTAAAAGTTACTCATGCAGTCCAGAATCAGACATATCAGTGTGAAAAATTATGAACAGGTGAAAAGATAAACGGATTGTTATTTGACTGATTGGACAATGGTTTACAAGAATGATGAAGGGTTTTTTCGCTTGGTCTCTTGTAAACTAAACTTTAAAGAAAATCATGAATTGATTGGTAGTAGGAATCTTCTATTAGTGTTTTACACCCACAAGTTGGTGGTGGAATCTATCAGGTTACTATTGTGATCAGATTAATGAGAAATGATGCATATATTGTATTCGTATGGCAAGATTTGGTCTATAAAGACATCTGGTATTTTTTCCTGTTGTAGTAGATGAATATGTAAACCGTGTAAAAGATTGAGTAGTATATCCTTATTTTAATTTGATAGGTAGTGTCCAGTAAATGCCCAAGAATTGGACTTTTTATTGTCATTTACTCAGTTTTGACAGGTGATGCTCCAAATACTACGATTTACTTGTATAATCGTCCATTCCGTTTAGTTACCTACATGGAAACGGTGGAACTGATAAGTGCTCACGTCAAAGGGAGAATCAAGCAGTCTATCTTGCCCCTAGAATCACTCGATTGTAAGAGATTTAAAATAAATTTGTAGCATTAAATGTCCTTTATGGAACTTTTCTGAAAATTTGCATTACAACTTAGATACAGTGCCATCTCTATTTCTGTGACGTGATAAAAAAATGATACTTTTGTCTGCTAGCAGGAATGCTACAAACCGTCTACATCATACTGTAGATTGAATTGTGGGGAAATCATTTTGTGTTTCGTTCCAACCTGGATTATTCACCGATAAGAGAATGGATAAGGATGGATATAAGTAGCATATGTTGAGAGGGTGGCAGAAATCATAGGGAATTACCAGCAATGGGTAAGGATTCTGCCAAGAGCAACGCAAGGGATAACGCAGGCGTATTACAGTGGGTGTTGCCGATAAGAATGTATGAAGAGCAAATCAAGAGAGAAGCAGAAGAGGAAACGAAGCACATTTTGCAAATGATGGTTTTAGTGCAAGGTGTACCATATTTAACAACTACCGTCCCAATTGTTGCCAATAAACACTCTTTCCTTCGTATCTGTCTTCTTGCTTCATTATCACCAATATCTCCTTGGTGAACTTAAAATGGTCAAACACGATAAATCTCTGCTCTGGAGTTACGCACTGACTCAGTCATCATCCTCATAGATAACTATTTTCAATCAAGAAATCAGTCTATTTCATTTGTTATTTTTATTTGAATTCGTGTTACGTGTTTAGTTTTCATCGTTTCGACTGATGTCGCAGTAACTAAGTTATCAATCTAATGAAAGCCGTCATAAAACTAGGGGCCACAGGTGTCTTCTTAGTATTGCTGACTCGTGTGTGCAGTGATCGTATAAGCAGCGGCTAGGTGTAGGGTTGTAGGCAGGTTATTCGATGGAGTTGTGAGCCGTCACCGACTTAGAGGGCTCGAATATGTCTTGTACATACTAAGCCACTGCCTACTTCAACGCGCTATATTAGCCAAGGTAAGATTGGGTTGTAGGAAGGTTAAGGTCATCAAGATTCAGTCCAGAGGGTTGTTGACTGTTGACTTGAGCCGTGCGGAAGATTTGGACTAGCTGGATGAGATCCTGGAAACGATAAGAATCAATGGTTTCGGGCTGTTGGTAATATAACCGAAAGTTGGTCACCTGGGTGCATGTGTATACGCTGTTTCATCTTCGATGACTTGAGTATTTTCAATAACCATCTATTTATTCTCGCTCCTATCGTATACTTTTATTTAGTAATCTGAATTGGTGCACTTCTGTGCCAGGTCCTATTTTGATTTGTTTTTGTCTCTATAAGTTTAATCCAAAACGAAACCGCTGAACGATTGTTTTGAAATTATTCTTCGTTTGTAAATTATAGATACTTCGTCTTATCTGTAGCTATTTGCCATATCACTAAAACAACTATCGTTATTTTGGTTTCATTTGCATTTGCCGATTGTTTTCTAATTGTTGATTTTATTGTTTCAAGGACGTCGTCTGCTGCACCAATGGATAACTGCCCCACCATGTAATCCGAGCATTATCAGACAAAGGCAAATGTCCATCAAAAATCTTATTTCTATTAGTGATATATTTCCTAAACTTCGTGAAAATTTAAGCCAGTTACCTGATTTGGAGCGCCTAATTATGAAGTAAGCATATTTCGGGATAATAGAAATTTTTTAGTTCAGGTTACGGGTAGAGATTGTTTATTGTTCTTTGTGCTCTCATATCTATTTTTGGATATTTCATCATCCAGCTTGGTGAAATCGCCACACTAACCTTATGAAGTCGGAAGCACTAAGCTTTCCATAAGTTTAATGCTGTTGGGTTCATCAAACCTGATGGTGAAAGGTCCACGACCCAATATCAATGTTCAAAAACCCCATACCATATAGGCATATTTATTTACCTTTTTATAGCTCAAATAATTAGTCAGAGAATAATGATTACTGGTGAAGTAACACATATTGTGACTGGATTTAAGCCGATGACATATGGGTCGCTGACCAGATGCTCTACGAATCAAGTTGCGAAACCCACTTCCACCAAGCAATCCGAAAGCTTCTGTTTGCAATCTTGTCACCAACAGGGTTTTCTTGCAACTCTATCTCCCTTTCTTTAAAAGTTAATCTCTCAAAACTAAAACTATCTCACGTAGTCTGATTACTGTAAATATTTTGCGATGTAAACACAACGTCATTTAGTATTTTAAAAGAAATAAGAACGGAATCAACTTCACTTAACACATTGAAATCGTCAAACTGTCTACGAACAGTGTTTATACCTCTACTATTTTTTGCTATACTGAATTATGGTGTGAAAATATCAAAGACCAATGTTGGATTATAGATCTAACGCCAAACTACATCTGCATATTGTTTGGATCTCCGTAAATGTTCATCGGAAAAATGATGGACTAATTACTCTTCACTAGTCCAAGTCAACACAAATTATCCAGTAAAACTGTCTCTACAGCCCAGTAGCAGAAGTCAGAATTTTAAACTTTTACCTCGATGGCTTATGAGTTTGTGTTGGTTACTATTTTTCATTTCACTGTTTTATGAACTTTATGACTTAGTGTTTTAAGCATCATATTTATGCTCAGTTTTGTGAGGTATAACTAACTCGTTACTGATTCTAGTGCTAATGGGAGTAGATTTAGTCTCTTAAATTACTAAGTAACAGCCAAGTATGTTCATTGCTCGACATACACATGGTTGTATGAACTATTTTCGTGTTTGACTTTTGTAAATCTGTATTTCGACTTTCTATAGTGATTTCAGCGTGACAGAATTTCCTCATTGTTTTTAATGTCTTCAGGTTCACTTCCTGTTTTGACCTAGATTAAGGCATTTTTACGTGTTAATCATTCTATTTTCAGTTACCAAAACACTTGTAACATAAGCTGATACGCAACTCTCTCTTCTCAAATGTTCATGTAACTATCATTTTTCAAATTCATGCAGCTACTCCACTGTGTATATATTTCTGTTTTAAAAGTATTGTTTAAAGGTTGGACCTAATGGGACTTTATCGCAGATATGTATCTCTTCAAAGTTTCATTTTCTCAGCGATGCAATTGATATTTTTCGTTTAGTGGCATAATTCAGAACATTTCCCAGCATAACATCCACACAGACGCAACGTGTTCAATGCCAGTAGCTCTAAAGACCATCCTAACAACTAAAATAGCTGGTTATGTTTTTCCATTTAAAAAAAATCTACCTTTGAAGGAGAAATAAGAAAACCTAATTAGTTGTTTTAAAAAATGACTAACGAGTCAGCCTTCAATTCAGCTATTATTAGACTTTGACACAGTCAGACAATAGGCACGTTGAACCTGGGATCACTACTTAACGGTACAAGTTACTATACCTGATATCAACAAATTAAAACACAGTAAATTAGGATCCACAAGCTGTTATTGCCAAGTTGTATGTATATACTGTATATTCTAATATATATTATTTGAACGTAGGGCCTCATGAAACTTTTATCTTTACAATTATTTCATACTCTTCTATTAACGTTTTGGAAAAATACACTGACTATTGAATGTTCACTAAACAGCCTATGAGTATTAGAATTTAGTTCCACTCAGGTGGTCTAGAAGTTAGGTAGCGTAACAGTGTTAACTGCTTCTTTGAGCTTATCATTAAGACTTATTCCTTTATAAGGCAGTTCTCTTAATGTTTCGCTTCTATTCTCTTTTCGTTCCCTTCTTTCGATATCAGTTTCATGTTTTCTTCATTTTGTGATATTATTGTGTATAGAGCATCTTGGAGCCCATGCTATGCGAAGTATGTGGTTTAACTAAATGGTAGTACTAAATACTTCTTTCTGTATTCATTTGCATACTAAAGTTTGTTTGGTGCAGTGAAATAATAAAGTCTTGGTTGTGTTATGTTCTTCGAGCTGGGTGGTTTAATCGTGAAGCTTTCATTGTCTTTCTAGACAACATCAGCACTAAATTCAGTGTCAAGACAATTTTTCACAATTAAACCACCCAGCTCAGAAAACGCAATCAAGATCATCCACCTGAACTACAAATATTCTCTATCATTTCAAGTAGTAATTTGTTTGCAAAATAAACGAGTAATATGGTACCGATTCTCTGTTTATGTATTGTTATTATTATCAGTCCTTTGGGTTCCTAATGGGACATGGGGCTTCAGTAGCACGTCTCCAATGCGCTCTGTCCTTTGAAATCTTTTGAACCTGGCTACACAACAGCCCACAAGCTCTCATTTCCTCCTCGTACGATCTCCTCCATGTCACCCTCGGACGTCCAACTCGTCGCTTCCCATCGGGGTTCAACTCGAGCAATTGGCCTGGAGCGTGATGTCCCCAGTTGGCCTTCTCAGTTTATGCCCAATCCATCTCCACTTCCTTCTGCATATTTGTCGGAAGATGGGTTCTTGGTTGCTTCGTTGCCTGCCAGGCCAGAGTTCCTTGTTGCTTATTCTTTCTGACCATCTGATCTTCAGTAGCGAGCGTAGGTGGCAGTTGTTGATGAATGTCTGTACTTTATTGGAAATCCCTTTCGTAACGCGCCGAGTCTCTGAACCATACAGAAGCACTGACTTGACGTTGGTGTTGAAAATCCGGATGTTGTTCCACATGCTGAGTGCAGAAGATCTCTACACTGGTTTCAGGCTAATTAACGCCTGTCTTGCTTTTCCGATTCTGACTTTGACATCCTCGTCTGTGCCACCGCCGCCTGTAGTTGAAACAGTGCTTCCTAGATAAGTGAAGGAGGTTACTTCCTTTAAGTTTCTCCCGTTGATGGTGATTGGAGTTTGTTGTTGGTGGTGGTGGCGTTGGTTGGGTATCTTCATCACCTCTGTCTTCTCTATATTCACTTGAAGTCCCGTCTTCGCTGCCTCTTCTGTCAACTTTTTAGTTTTCGCCTGTAGATCATCAAGTTTATGTGACATCAGACACAAGTCATTGGTGAAATCCAAGTCTTCTAGGTTCTTTTCCGCAGTCCAGCGTATCCCCCTCTTCTCGCTTCCCACTGTTTGCTGCATGATCCAGTCCACCACAATCAGGAATATCATGGGTGATAGAAGGCAGCCTTCTTTCACTCCTGTCTTCACTTCAAAGGCATCACTGAGCTTCCCATTGTGAAGTACTTGGCATGTGGCATCTTCATATAGTTGTTGAATGAGGCTGATAAAGGTTTGTAGTATTCCGTGGTATTGAAGCAGTTTCCAAATTACCTCTCGGTCGACGCTGTCAAAGGCCTTCTCAAAGTCGATAAAGTTGAGGTGTAGAGTTGACTGCTATTCTATACTCTGTTCTATGATGATGCGTAGTGTGGCGTTGCAATTTGGTCTGCACATGATTTGTACTTCCTGAAGCCTGCCTGTTCGGGTCATAGTTTTGAATCTAGCGCATCCTTTAGTCTCTCCAAGATGGTGTGGCTGAATATTTTGCTTGCTCTGGGTGGACAGGAGAGTGATTCCGTGCCAGTTCTTGCAAACACTGAGGTCTTCCTTCCTCGGGAGTTTGACGAGGTAACCCTTCTTCCAATCGCCAGGTACCTTCCCTTCCTTCCGGACCTTCTGCAATAGTGGTGTGGTGTAAGCATGTCCGCTGTTGTCTCTGCGTCTGCTCTCAGTGCTTCTGCCGGGATCCCATCTGGTCCTGCTGCTTTCCCACATTTTAGTAGCTTTATGGTGCTCAGGACTTCCACCTTTGTTGGAGGACTTATGTTCACTTGTAGTTCAGCGGCTGGGCTGCAGGTGGTATTTCTGGACGAAGTGCAGGTGGTGGTCAATTCAGTAGCTTCTTGAAGTGGTCGGCCCATTGTTTACTCTGTTTCTCTTCTTTCGTAATTAAATTTCCTTCTTCACCGTTTATTGGTTTCGTCTGCGTTGATCTCTTCCCAGATAACAGCTTGGTTATTTGATACAATGTTGTCAGGTCTCTCTTACCTGCAGCCTGTTCTGCTTCACTTGCCAGTGTTTCGTAGAAGTGTGTTTTGTCTTTGCGTGTCCAGTGTTTTATACATTGTACTCAGTTCCTCTTGTCGTTGAGCATCTTTGCACTGGTTTATCTTCTGCTTCACCATCCTCCTCTCCTCTATCAGCTTCCATGTATCCATCGAGATCCGTTCTTTTTCTTCTTTCTTCTTCCTTCCTAATACGGCTGTGAAAGTTTCTTTCCACATCTCTTTCAAAGACTTCCAGTGTTCTTCCACACAGGTTTCTTCAGGGATGTTGCTCAATATCTCCCATTTTGTCTTGATGGCTGCCGTGAAGATTTCCTTTGTAGTTTCGTCCTTCAGTTTCTGTTCTGGATGTTGTACTTGAACTGCGGTCTATCACCAGCATCATTGAAGACTTTTAACTTGATTTGGAAGGTTCCTTGCACTAGATAGTAGTCTGAACCTACATCTGCTCCTCTTCTTGACCTTGTGTTCAGTAGACTGCGTCTCCATTTTCTTGAGATTGAGATAAAGTCGATTTGATTTTTAGTGTGTCTATCTGGTGAAATCCATGTCGCTTTGTGGATATCTTTGTGCCTGAACACACTGCCTCTAATCACCAAATCGTTGAATGCACAGAATTCTGCAAACAATTCTCCATTCTCGTTCATCACTTCGCCAAGCGCTTCTCAACCCATGGTTAGTTCTCTTCCTGTGTTGTCCACTCCCAGTTTGGCATTCATGTCGCCCATTAGAATTTTGATATCGCCAACTGAGGTCTTGTCCAGTGTTGATTGCAGTTGTCTGTAGAATTTCTCCTTCTCCTCTGGATCTATATAATCTGTAGGTGCGTAAAGTAGCACTGTATGATTGTGACCTTCCTTCCTTTTGAGTTGAACCTTGCTGTCATGATCCTGATGCTGGAGGAGATTGGTTCCCACTGCATGAAAGCCTTCGATGCTGTTGGGGACATCATGATAGTCACTCGAAAACTCATTGTACTCGTGGTTGTCGTCTGGGTGACAATATCGGAGTAGATTATTGATTCTCCAGTTGACAGTTTGGAGACTCCACTCCCATTCCATCTGCTTTCGCAAATTCCAAGCACTTTTATGTGATACCTCCTCATCTCGTTTGCAATCTGGGCTGCCTTACTGGGTTCAAACATTGTGCGGACATTCCATGTCCCCACACTTACTTTCGCTTTCATCGGGAGAGAAAAGACACATCGGCCAATTGGCTTCCCGAAGGCTTTCATCAACTGGCGTCATTTCTCCTCTCCGATTCCAGCGAGGAATAATTTTCTTTTAAAATTTTTTATATTTTGTTTGTGCTTTGAAGTTTTTTTAGTGGTTAGATTTGTTTTACGGGGTAGAGTTGTTAGCGGTATGCCCAACCTTCCCTCTTTATTGGGGCTTAGGACCGGCTAGTAACTACTGAACTAGTTAACCAGGCGAGGTTTCTCTCTGTTTATGTATTCCATATTAAATGTTTTTCAGCCTGACCGCATTTCTATTTCGTGACAATGTTAAAAATTACATATCATTTCTCGTTATTCTCCAGAATTCACTTGCTAGGTTCTAAAGGTGATAAAAATCATCCAGATAGCCGAGCAATCATATTTGAAGAGGTCCAGTATTCAAAGAAGAATATCACCGATTTTGTAGCCACTTTGGATGGATTTGAATTAGGTTGCAAAATAATTAATGAAGTTAATCGTTCTGAATTGAGGTTAGTAAAAAAATTTACTCATATTGATGGGGAGTATTTGCATTGATATTTTCACACACCTTTTCGTCACTTGGTTATTGATGGCATTGTGTGCGAATAGATTTTAATTTCGCGTATTCATATTTTCGGGACATGAAACAGTTTGCATTTAAGGAGGAGAATACCATAATAAAATGGTGAAACTCTACAGCCGCTTGGATCTCCATTCAATAGACCGTGAATGATATCTATCAATCAAAGGTTAGTGATCGCACTTGTCTGTCTGAATTTCAGGAGTTGGAGTGGGTTTCCAGTTCATGACTTGCTGTTTACCAACCGAGTGCTTGAGTCAACACGATACAGCTTCATAATATAATGTGAATCCAAAAAAGAAGCCATTGGCGGAAGTTAGGTATTTTTTGTTAGTCACTACTTTGTACTGTTAACATCTTGAGAACTTCCAGGTAAAAATAGAAAAATGTGAGTTATCCATGATTCACTAAACGCTTGATTCATCAGTGATGGGTTTTAATCTTTACTCAACTGGCTGCCAATGACATTTCAGTTAAATTAAGAGTATTTCAGCTTATTCGCTATTGCTATCAGTCTTTTTAAAAATTCTTTAATATACATGTAGAACTATACGCCTGTTTCGAACTTAAAATTGGTAAATGGTGTGTAGGATATGAGAAGTTGATTATCTGCTAATCATATAACTGGTGGGTAGTTTAAGGCGCGATTATACTACCTACGCTAGCATGTAGTAATTGTCATCTATCTTAGGGGGATGTAAACTATTCTTGTTAACTTCAAAATGTTGTTTTTTCTTGCAAGCTGTAACTAATGTATGCTCTCCTGACCGAATACATTTCTGCGAACAAATGATTTACAGCTGTGAACGGCACCTAATCATTAACTCGTTCATCAAATAGATGCCCATGTTGCTGCCTTTATCTCGATTAATAGAATCATATCCGATCAAGGCCGATTTATGTATGTCATAGGTTCTCTATGGAAAATACAACTGTTGTTTTGTTTCTTAACTATTTCTCATCTATTATTGGATTGCATCCGTTGAAAGAAATCTAAAATTTCAGCAAAACTAACCTGATAATCATGTTATTAGCTAATTTTACTACTTATACTCAAATGCTAACAACAGTTAACCAAATTAAACTTTGACGGTGGTTTCGTTTTCTCTGAGCGTTGATATTTTTTCGTGAACTTGATGCTAAGGATGTCACCAAGCTTGGGGAGCGTAACGTTCATGACAAGATATCAAAGCTCAGAGAACACCAAATCACCCTCATTCTCATCTTGGGCTACAAATCCTTTCCATTATTTCAAATTGAACTTTTTCAAGTAACTCACCTTGACTTTTTTTAACGACACTGAAGAATTTAGATTTCATTGTACATAATCATCATTTGGTTATAAGCCTCTAACTTTTTCAAATTTCCATCCTACCATGTGAGGTGTGTAGAGTCATATCTTCATGTAATGGTTATTTTGTGATTGGGGGTCCTTGTGCGAAGTCGTACCTTTGGCTGAATGGAATCTGAAAGTAGTGAAGTGTTTTTCATAGGTGATCAGCAGTACTGCGCTAGTTCTGTGTTTCCTAAGGCAGGGGAAGGTTAGAAAATGCTAGTACTAAAAGTAATGCTTCAGTTCTCGATTAGGAAAGAGGAGCTAATGAAACATATCTACGGTCTACCACACCCACCAATTGACAACGGAGGTCGTCTAATCCAATTTCGTTGTGACAGTCACGTGTTTCTCCCCAGCAATAACGTTGTAGGAGACACGTAGACCCACGCAACGTCTGTCAACATCAAACCAACGGTAAACACAAGTAAATCGTATAGCAGCCATTACTTGACATGATTGGTGCTGTTTATGGAGTTTCTACTTCAAGTCTGATCACGCGTTAGTTCGATACGTGTGTCTGCACCTAACTCATCTCAGGAAACAGGTGGCAATGTAGCCTGTGCGTGCTCGACTGGAAAATGAGACCGCAAAAGTGTGTTTAGATGGGAGATGGCGAAACATTTATCCGAATATGCCACCCATTCTCATTCTGATGAAGCCTGGCTATAGAAACAGCGGTAACGACAATTAGTAGTCTTCATCTCAAAATTATGGAAAACCATTGGATTCCCACCACCTCATTCTACCTGAGTGATGCGAGCTGACTGTGATCACAATCAGGAACGAAAGTAGCTCGAACGTAAATTGACTAGGAGTCTTCACAGCGATCACGAACAGTGATGGACGGTGAATACAGAAGAGATGAAAGAGGTATCAGCATTAAGCTGAACTTGAAAGTTATTTCTGCGTATTAGGGCCACTGGGAAGATGATTGTTGAGGCCGTCACTGAGTACATGGTTCCGTGATAGTCTCTCAGGACAGGCAGTTGAGACGTCGGGTGAAACAGTTTGGAGGATAGTTCAACCAGCCTATAGGCAATATTCAGTTGCTTAACATTCACCGGAAACGTGAATGTGATGTAGTTGTTAGTCCTCCAACTTTGCCGAAGTTGAGAAGGTTGTTTGAAACGTGAGATGATGCAAAGCTTCAAAGGCTGACAGTTTGCCACCCGAAGTGTATAGACGTACTAATTGGCATCACCCTAGGTACCCCTTACTTAATACGGATTAACTTACGCACAGAAAGGCATCTGGTTGGCTTAGAGTACGTAAATGACCTTATTGTGTTACGTGAAGAAGCTGGGCAGAAATCTGAGTGTATTCGGCAGGCATTTACCACCTGTCAAATGTAAGAAAATGCTTCCGGACTAATCTACAATTACTGCCATTTAAGGGTAAGGTGTGAGGTCGTTGAATGTTTCTACCACTTCATTAGGGGAATTGCACCACCCTAAACGGGTTTGTTGCTGACGAAATCTCAGTTTGAATTCAAAGGCCTCGTTTGGCGCTTGTCGACTCATGCCATCTCTCACGCTGGAGAGTTATCCGACTACCTACTAAGGAACGGGTATACTGAGCTGTAGTTCTCTCTATACCATTGTTATCATGGTAGGACCAAAAGGGATAAATTTCTCCACCATCATATGTTGTAAAGTCATTGTGGTATGCGACCCTGACCCTGGCCACCTCGTCAGAGTTACAGCTATCGGTCGATTACTTCACCTATAAGCTGGTCCCTTTTGCAGTCATGCGGAACTGAATGAATTAAGTGCAGGTAGTAACAAGTGTTCAGATTAGATTATAAGTGTTCCATGAATGATTCGGTTTCTTTTATTATAATTTCCAATCCTTGTGTATAGTTGCTTCTATTGTCTGATTTTCTGAATGTCAACACGCTGTCATTTCATAGCAAACAGACTGTTTTTGAACTCTCCTTCATTCCAGTTAAATTTCCTTTGTTTGTTGTTATCTTTTGCCATATCTTTTAATTATCTGTGAATTTCCACTGCAATTTTTGTGATAGTATTTTGTTGACCATACCCTTTTGATATTTTGAATTTATTTTGCCTGTCTTTTAGTTCCACACATCTAAAGAATTTGGTTACTTTCACCAATTTGGGAGGTAATTTTCCCAATATTATGGAAAAGATAAAGTATTTCAAAGTAAGTCTAAATGTCTCACACTATTGTTATAACTTGATTATTTTCTCACTTATCAAAATAAGACTTCGATTTTTTGCTTCCTATGTAGTTTTTGTTTGTTTGAAAATGCTTGATATGTTTCTTACATTTCACAACTGCCCTCCATAAATATTTGTTTAAAACTAAGGGGTGGAGGAGTTGAATGGGCTGACCATTCCACTAACACTGGAAGTCAGATTAACTTTGATGGGTCGATGACTGACGCAATTTTAATATGAATAAAATAGGTCTAAATGACCGCTGTTAACCTAAGCCACCAGTGGTACTGACGAGATATCCAAAACCTATCAAGAGTCAAGTGTACTGTACGGCAGTCAGCTCTTTCCAACTCTTCACCCATGAAAGACGGCTGTTTAGATTGTAGAATCTGAAAAGTCAGCGGGTGTTCTACTACCCTTGTCTTCTTAATACCATCCGTGTGCTGCGCAGTTGCCAAGTAGGGAACATAATGTTAAGTGTACAGCCCCCTGGGTGAGCAAGATAATTAGCTTGATGTAGTTTCAAACCCTGATCGGTTGGAGGAACTGGGCTGCTAAGACACTGTCTACCCCAACTCACACGACGCTAACTCATTTAGGGTTAGGTTGGAAGAAAGCCGAAGGGAGACCAGGCCAACATATGGCACCAATATGTGGATTATGACTTTGTGTGAGCAATGTAGAAAAATATGCTCTTTCCAGATAAGGGTCTGAAAGGCAACCGAAAGTGATGATTGTGAACTGTGGTTGGTATGGCTCAGAAGCGACCACACCATATTAGCATCTTAACCGTCATGTCAGATTGTGCTAGCTTGGCGTGATGGTCGCGCTGGTGTATAACAACGAGACAAGCTGCGCTGCCTTGATCGCTTGTTGCTTGGAGTCCTGCCATGGCTGATAGGACGAAAAGGAGTTGCCGTCATAGTGTTAAATTTGAGAGTGAAATACTGCTGTCTGGATGGGGGATGGTAGCAGTAAGGTGTTTTTCCAGTGGATGACCGGAACTGCCTGCCTTTCTCGTGGGAAGAGGGATTTGCTAAAAGTATACACCAAAAATAGCACACTGTTCCCTGTCCAGTGGTATGTGTTTTTCCTATCTGGCGTTAGAACAACCAAATCTCAAACCAAGAATCCTCAAAAGGCTGTATGTGGCGGGCTTCAAGCAGATCTATGGGCTTTACGGTCACAAAAATCTTTTTCTCTTTCATTTACACCGCAGAAAAAACTTTCGCGATGTAGACAGTCGGGAATTGCTAGCCTCCCAGACGCTTCCAGTAATATACAAAGTCCAAACAATAATGACCTACTCTTCCTATCTCTGTCTCCTCCTTTGCCTTCACTTTCTGATACCAAATACAAATTCCCCAACCCCTCCGTCTGCAACCATTATCAATGACCCAAACCTGCGAAACATCTTTCCCAGACGCCTCTGTCAGTTTCACACCAGTCCATTCAAATCCCGAATTTTATGCCGAATCGGACTGCAGGTATCTCTTGCCAGCACTCTCGAATCCCGAACTATGAATATATGCTGTATTTATGAGACACGTATACAGGACCCGAATTTGATTATTCTTTTGACCTCATTTGGCCAATGTAATGAATCTGCAATCTTCACGTCACGAGTGTTTGAATGTCCATTGATTAGCTTTCGTACAGTCGCTTATGTAGGCATAGCATTAAGTTGTAGGACCGAAAGTACTTTTCTCGACTGGATTACCGGTCAATAGCCATCTGTGTGCTGTTCGACTGAATAGATCTGTAAGAACAAGGAAGGGTCGTGAGACTAGGCGATGGTTATTCTTAATCTCCCCCTACGCGCCCACTGACTGCGGTTCGGACAATGAATTTTATCAAAAGCTTTCAGTTCGGATGCAGAAAGCAAAACGTTGAGATGTAGTCATAATAACAAGCGACTTCAACGCTGAAGTTAAGGAAGCTGAGTCTATCGGAAAGGCCATACCAACGAACCGACTACGGTGGTCGTCTGTTGTAATTTCGTTCTGCTACCACTTGTTTCTGGTCAGCAGTAGCTTCAAGCATAAGAAGCGACAGTCTCACTTGGAATCCACCGACAGCAAACCAATAATGGACGGAGATAGATCATATTGGTATAGGCCATCATCGGAGAGAATCGGTAAAGGATTGCCTCTCTTTCTGGAGTACCTGTCTGGACTCCAGTCACGCGTTATTACACGCGCGTGAATTTATGCGTCGTAATGGTGGCAGAAAATAGGCGGTAGTAAACCACGTGCTTACGCGTGTTCATTTGAAAAACGAGAACGTCAATTTCTTATTCAGGGAAGAGATTCCTTTGCATTTATCTGAACGTGACATCAATTTTCATCCTGACGAAGACTAACGTTAAATTCTATTCTCTATTAGGTAACCTACATCTAAAAGTTAGAAAACGTCAGTAGATTTCTGCAATGTCATCCGAACTGATTAATGCGAGGAGACTGATTTTGACTGACTCTAGCCACAATGAAGAACAAAAACAGCTGAAAAGTAAATTGACCAAGAGTCTTCACGACGATCGCCAGCAGTGGTGGAGGCGAATGCAAGAAAGGTGGTAAAGGCATCAGCATTAGGTAACAGCCGGCAACTATTTAGACTTATTAAAGATAAGAAGGCCGTGGTAAGTGAAAACATTACCGAAGAGGATGGAACACTGATAGCCTCTCAGTACAGATAGCTAGAACTTTGGACAGAGAATTTTGAAACACAGTTCAACTGACCCACAGTCACACACATGCACACTAGAATGGGTTCGATTAGTTGTCCTAAAAATTGAATTACCATGTGGAGGAAGAAACTTTGAATGGAAGCTTTGTTTTACACCATGTGTAAACAATGAAAAAGACCAACCCCCTGATACGGTTATCTGGAAATTTCTGCTTCTCTGTAACACTAAGGTAGAAAACAGAATAGAACTATAAAAACAAGATTTAAAAGTCGTTGATTTACTTTTGTTGTGATCAGAAATAGTGATCTATGCTTGAAATTTTTCGCAATAAACATTACTTCCACTGTATGGAATATCTGACGAAGAGAGTAACGTTTTAAGCTTAAATTCTTCAAAGCAACGTTGCAAATAAATCGTTTCTGTTTTATAAAGGTTGAAGCCTTAGTGTATTGTTTGACTGTTACTGATTTCTAGGGAAATCATTTTGAATTAGAATTAGGTGATTTTCTCTATGTCTTTTTCATTAATTAATTGGTTAATATCGATGCATAGGCTTAGTTTCTATTTATCATATTTGCTTTTTACCAAAAGAGTAGGTTCGACTTTAAACTGCATACATATTTGTATTCCTTTAAAACTTAATAATTCTGTGTTGGGAAAACTAATCGACCAGCAGTATTAAATGTCGTAAAAATGTACTTGGATATATTTCGCCACAATATAACGGGAAAAGAAATGTGGAGATGTGAATGAATGAGAATATAGAGACTAAAGAAATAAGAATATTAAGGTGTTCAAGAACTTATGAAATGTAAACAATGAATCTGCATCGTTGTCAATAGTTATTGAGAATCTTCAGCTTTTGAATCCTATCCTCTCCTCGATTCCAATCGGGTAGTGCTTACCTTGCCGTGTTGCAGATTAATATTCAATGTTTCGATGGGCTGTTATCATGTCTGACACTGCAGTTGTTAACTTTTTGTGTACTCTAGTCTTATTCCAGCCATCGCGACTCATCATATTAGGTAGTAGCTAAGTCTTTTTGAAGACGGGATTATTGTGTTATTTTAGGATAGAAATTGGTTTCAAGTAAAGCAACTGAATGTTTTCGGTGCAGTATGCGGTTCATATCCACAATACTACTATTCCCATCTTTACTTGGTTTTTGATTGCATGCTTATTAACCATGTTGTTTCGTATATCTGCTTTTTAGAGTGCTTTCGATGCTGATAAAGCTAAACGTGAGGGACGAATAATTCCAGAGCCTGGAATCGATCCTGATTATGATGCATCCTTATCGAAAATTAAGGTGATTTTCCACATTGTTAATGATCATATCCATTTGAATAAGCTTCTTTCATAACAAGTCTTGTTTCTTTTTAGAAACTTTTAAGAAGTGAGTGGCACATTGTTAGTTGTTTCGTACTCTGGTTATCGTATTGTATGGTAAGAGCTTGCTAAAGCTCATACCAACAAAACACTAATGAAATCTTACGTGCATTACAAACCTCAGCAAAATTTCTTTTTATTTAATGCATTTTACACATAATCTCGTCGAAATCTTTGCATTTTCTCTAGCCACCTCAGTCGACTAAAGTTTTGGTTAATTAGTTGGTCAGAGCACTGTAAGAAATAGTTTCACCTGCTCAAAATCATACCTCAGATACCACTATTTTGACTCCACCTGGATCAGGTTTTAAGTATAGATTCTCCAATTCTCACTGGGCTTTTATAAACCTAAAACTATGCAGAAAAGCGGGCTTCTATGGTTTTCCTCAAAAAGTCTTCAGGAATAGCAATCAGGAATTATTCAGTAGAATAACTGAGTTTTTAAGTGGCGTTTTTGTACCTTATGTGTTTTCATCAGACTGCTTTGGGTCGTTAATCATTCCATTTGACAAAAAAGGTAAATCTTTATGTGGTAACCACATGGAGATCTTTTTAATTAACATCCTTAAATGTATGTCCATTTCACTATGGATTGAAGCTGGAGAACATCAAACTCTAAACACGAGGTTTGAATCCTTCACTGGGGCATATCAATCAGATATTATTTCTTTTGGATCCAGGTATGCTTACCGGTTCCCAACGCTTACTATATTTACTGACTTGCAGGCATTTGACTACGTCAATTCAGTTGTAGTGTCTGACTGAAAGGAGTTCTAAACAAGTATTTTATGTCAATCAGAAAGCTACTCAAACTCAGCCGGCTGGGTAAGGGCTTGTGAAGAGTTTTGGTACCTAGTAATGGCAACCAAGGATGCTCACTATCATCATTTTTGACTAGCTTTTTTGTAAATGTTCTTATTTCAGACTTCTGAGGGATTAGCTTACTTTTTGAAGAGCATCTGATCGTCTTAGAGTAAATAAATCATATATTTTCGTTAGTAAAGACTCAATACTGTGAACGAAAAACTATGTTTTCTCATCTACCAAATGTAACATAATGTTGCAGAACTAGTGTAAACTACTTCCACCGTAGGGATAAGGAATGAAGTGATCGAGTGTGTTAACTACACCGAAACCTATAACTAGACAATGAAGTTCCTGTTTATTGACCTGAACTTTTCATGAAAGTACAGACTGTTTGAACTGATTCCAATTTCCTGGGAACAAATAACTGTAGATCGACGCTTCAGTGTCCAACAAAATGATATAGGTATGAACTAACATTTGAAAATCTTTAAAATTTCATTAACCTTCATGTACATATTTTGTTTCCTCATATACCTTTTTTTATTTGTTTTAATATTACTATATTTTTCTGCATTTCTCTGTATCGTTTTAAAATGTGATATAAATTTATCCGGTGTTCATCCTATTGACCATTAGTTAGAAAAGTTTTTTCTATCGTATAAATAACTCGAAATTTCTCCACCTGTACTGCGTATTCTAGTTTTGTCTGTGAGGTTGTTTTAATATTTAGTGACTTTCATATCTTATCCATCTAGAAACCATCGCGGGACCCATCACTTTCAATTTAGGCAATGCAACCTTATGCGGCATCAATGTATAGTAATAAGATGAATATGCAGATCGATTCCAGAATTACTCGAACTTAAAAGTTAGGTAAACGTTTGAGGTTCATGTACTAAGTTACAAGCCACAGGCAGAACTTTAAATCCCTTAACTTGTTACTAGTTAAATAGTTTATAAGGATCTAAATGATGTGTACCTTTCAAAAATTTGATCAGTAACTTGTTATGTGTAATGTTTCAGTGACGTTGAGTTGCTGGTTGGATGTAGAATTCAACATTAAAGTTCAATGAATATGGACACTTCATATTCAGAATTTGTATATGTCTGATATAATTCCCAAGAGTGAAAATTATTATCATAAAAATATGATGATGTAAAATAGGATTGTTATGAGTTTGAAGCGCTAATGGTCATATATATATATATATATATATATATATATATATATATATATATATATATATATATATATGTATATACCGAAAGGAATATAATACGTGCGCTTAGCTGACAGCTAACTTGGTACGCAAGAGACACTGGCTGCAACCCCGGGACTAATAGAGAGAAGACCGAAGCTGACAGATGGGAGAGTGTATTACTCCGAGAATATAATATAATAACCACGACTCAATCCAAAACACGTGAATAAGTACACATGAAAACTGACCTTGTCCGCAATTGGAGAAATTCGCATAGTAAGAGTAAAAGTTAACCAATCAGCGAATTACATTACAATCGGGACAGAAATAGGCTATTAGTCATAGTTCAAGTTGTTATTCATCGAAGACTGACATCAGTTGGAGGAACAAAGGAAACCTGGGAGCACTGGACAGCTGTTTCGTCCTAGTATGGGACTCCTCAGCAGTGCGCACCCACGACCCCACCAGCAGGGATCGAACCCGCGACCTTCAGGTTCCGCGACCAGCGCGTTACCATTGAGCCACTGGGTCAGAATCCAACTGATGTCAGTCTTCGATGAATAACAACTTGAAATATTTCCAAATCTCCACAACCCCCTCAAAATTTATTAGTCATAGCGTAAAAATAACGTGGGAATGACACGTTAAAATGTTCAGATCAATAACATACAAGACTGGGGCATCACAACAAGGATAAAACTAATAACTCATTCAAATACTAGTTAAGCATTAATATAGGAGAACGGAACTTTGCTCTCAATAGCAAAAGTAAAAGCTTTTCGTAGAACTGAAGCTTTGTGGGTGAAGATTACGAATAAGCATCGGGAAGTCTCACAATAATCCTCATTTCTTGCAGACCCATTCAGTTGGATGGTACACAGACAGCCGGTAGCTGTTATCACGTGTAAGAGTTCGGTTTCTTCTGCACAACCTTATGCCTACACCAGACGGTTCACAAAAGCTAGTCAGTGAACCTTCCAGGACTCATGAAGTGAAGTTCGCAGATTCGCCACGTTGACCAGGTGAGGTCAAGTGAATAGTCACACTTAGATTCTGTATATGTGTTTCAGAAACAGTATGCATTCATAACTCCAGAGTTTTAACAAATGACACCTGTTGTGTGATTTAGTATAAGGTTCGAATATTGTAAGTTCCAATGTGAAATTGATAGCGTGGTTTTAGGAAACTAGGAGTGACGTTTCGCTGGCTTGGATCTTTAGCAGTGATCTCATGATGATGTTGAGGAAATTATAAGAGGCTTAATACTGATGTCATTAAGTGAAGACAAGGAAGAAACAAAGTTAAGGTGAGAAGATTATGATTAGTTGGGTTTCGTATGCCACCAAAGCCGTGCAAGTGGCCGGTAATTCGCAACCACCCATATCGTGGAAATTGTTTCTACAGGGTTCCTAAAAGAGTAAATGGATTAGTTTTGCCCTACCACAGACCTCAAGAGATGTCTGCTCGAGGTCAGTTGCACATGGCTGTTTTAAGGGTGTTGGACTGAGATTCTATTGTACTAACTTTGGGAAAAGAAACCGCATCATTGCCTCCGGGATACAGTGAACTAGATTTCAGGCCATCTACTAAACCTTTAGAAAGTATTAATGAGCATTTTTTGCAGTTACAAGACATCATTAGAACGATGAGTACAGCTGACTGTGGCTTTGGAAAATGTCCCACTAATAAACACTGGACTCTTTGCAATTGGTTGACGCTCGTTGGTGTATTGCGGCAGACAGTGAGTACAATTATGTGCACAGATCAGTCTTCTGCGTAAGGAACACAAGTCCTAGTGAACCGAACGTGCGAGTGACATGGAAGGAGCAGCTGCATCTAACAGTGCTCGACAGTTGTTCTAGCTCATCGGAGTCATGGGCAACAAGAAGCCTGTTTTGAGTGATATGGTCTGTTAATTGGGTGGTATACCACCAACTCTTTTGGACGCTGGAACGCTATGCGGAGCACTTCAAATGGGAGTTTAGTTAGCCTACCGTCTCAGTAACATCAACATCAGTGTCTTATATTCTATGGTCAGTTACCGTCGATCCACCTTGCGAAGTGGGTGCCCGTTAGGAACTCCAAGTAATAAAGTATCATGAAGCATCCAGCCCAGACAATCTGACTAGTCAGAGAACTGATTGCATTGTTTTTGAGGTCATGGCAGACTGAGTATTTTCCATCATTCTGGAATGAAGTAATTGTTGTACCCATTTTTAAAAATTGTCTACGTAATGTGTATGTGATAGCCATTGGAGTATCAGTCTGCTACCGGTAATGTCTAAATTATTGGCTGTCATCATATTTCTTAGGTTGTATTTCTCGACATTATGCCTAAATTCGATCCGTGACAGTTCTGTACCCTGGGATTATCTATTAAAGGGGTGACCGTCAAAATTTTATCGTTTCTAAAGCCTAACACTTCAACACCTAAGGTAAAGGCATAAAACCACTTATCTCTATTGTTCGAAACCAGTAGTGATGTCAAACAAGGGTGCCCACTTTTGTCCTTCCTCTTTAACTTTGCCATCGGTGACATTCTAGAGACAGTCCTGAAGAAAGTTCGATGTGAACCTGTTTCCTTGTGAAGGATTCTCGACCTCATGGATGCTGATGATATGTTTTTACTGTGCTATAGCATACAGGCTACTCACATCGTACTCAACCAGCTGGCAAGCTGTGTCCGTAAGTACAGGATATGCTTCGCAACATCTAAGTGCTTCTATAGTATTGCCAGGTGTTTGTACCTACACGGACTTAATGGTGAATCATTGGTAGTTATCAAAAAGTATATGGACCTAGTTAGTTGTGGAGTGTGACTGATGAGATTTTCAATCAGATATTGAAAGCCAGGGTGGCGTCCAACGACTCTTTGTATTCGATCGTCATTGTCTCCGGTGGAAGATCTATATTAGAAATTCTTATGAAGACAACGTATGTATAGGAACGGTGAAGATCATCATTTATTGAGTGTGGTCACCATGGACCACCAGCACCTGTCTTGGACATGTGTTACAGATATCATGCCAGTGGCTTCCATATTGCGCGCTGCTCCCTTGCCTTGGGACTGGTTGGATGTCGCCATGACATGTAGAATATTTGTGCTAGTTTTTCATCTGTAGGTGCCTCATGACTCCATGGATGAGATCCAAGAGACTATGCAACTCAATGACATGAGACGATTGCAGATTTTCTTAATAAGTAAATATACAAATATTCGTCGAACATAAGTATGGTAACCAGTTTCACTGCCTCGTCTGTTTTGTTTCTCACGGCCCATACAACCAAATTTTTGAATTGTATATTCTCACTTTTTGATTTTTGTCATCTTTAGACTATAATTGAAGATATGGACGGATTTCTCATGCACTGGTGCAAGAAAATTGGTACTAGAGTAAGCAGCTTTTAGATTTTCGCTTGTTTATTACAGTTAATTTACAAGATACTATTATGTGAAAGCCTAAGAGGCAAAAAACTACTTTATTTACTCTTTTTAATATGCCAGATGTTAATATTTTTTTTGCCGTCTCAAATCTTACTCCGTTAGCAGGCTTGAGAAATTTTCTTCCTCTTATGTGGATCTATGGCTCATTGCTTTAGGTAGTTGACTTTCAACCAACGGACCACGGATTCGAGCACTGTCCCACCTACCAAGATGCAGCCAGGTAGTATCACTAGCCCTCTACACACTAAGTGTGGCTTATTTTAATTCATGTCCGCTCTTTTTCCCACAGAAAGGCATGTGATAAATGATAATCTACTTAACTCCGACAAGAAACAAGTCTAATCAATGCTACACTTTTCTGTGTAATTTTACTGTGTTCAAAGACTATCAGTGCGAATAATTTTTCTTTAAAAATTGAAAACATTTGTTTCCGGATACAAATTTAAAACAAGCAACAAGTGTGAAAGAAAGCAGGATTTAATGAATTCATATATTTCAGTAGTACTCGTCAGCTGGATACTCTACATACTTGATTATATATACCGTTAAGCGATGGAAAAGAGCATAATACATACATATATAACGTAGACTGAGACAGATTTAGGTGTAACAACATAGAAGTGAATAGTTTTACAGGTCAAATGGTAATCCAGAGGATAGAAATAGATATTCAAGATTGTTGACACAGGGATGAGAACTGAATCGATTGAGCGTCGATCACGTCATTAAAAACAAGATAGTTAATAGTACTTATGCAGACAATAAGAAAACATGGTGTATATTGAGATGAATAATAATGATAACATTGGCAATATGAATAAGGTTAATTAGATGGAGTAAATCAGGGAAGGAAAACAAATATGAGATGAGTGATAATTAATAGTGAAGAGTAAAATAAGAAAGATTAAATGTGATTAGACAATGTTGTAATTATTACCATGGCAGATTCAGGCTGACTACCATTTCTTTCTGAATGCAAAGGTTTGGTATGACAACTCGAATCGTGCAGGCTTCTACATATCCAAGCAGCTTTTTATTTCACTGTCTACTGATAACTTCAAAGGACTTATAGGTATCAATATCATGTCCATAGTCCATTAGGTGCTTCGTTATCGAGCTCCTCGGGGTCTTCTTTTCGGCATGCTTCAACCATTTCGGTATGTACTCAACCATTCGAGTGGACAGACGCCTCTCCGCATGACCAATGTATTTGCTTCCGCAGGTACATTCGAATTGATATTTACATTTAGATGTGTCGAGGATCGGAGTACTGTCTTTCCCTGATTGCTGCAATACCCTTTTGGTGGTGCTAAGAAGAACCAGTTTAGTTGCGTAGTAAGTCCTTCTGATAGACTTCTCCAGTCTTCGTCTAACTACCTCTAGCACGTCGTCACCTTTGAATGGCAAGGTGACATAGGCTGGTTTCTTCTGCACTGTTGGGGCCGTTGTTCTGCTCCCTACCCACTTTGTGTGCTTGTTGAAAAAGCTTTCTGGGTACCCATTCTTCACCAGCACGCTTTTCAAAGTCCCCATTTCGTAGTCTAGTGTGTTGTCGGAACAAATTTTCCTGGCTCTGTTACATAGGGTTCTAACTACATTCACTTTGTATTGGATCGGAACAAAGCTCCTAAAATGAAGGTATTGTCCTGTCCAAGAAGGTTTCCTCTAGATGGACCTTTCTATATATATATATAGATTATATATTCATTGTATGCAATAGTAAAGCGGAGGCAGAAGCACTACTGAAGAGCTTCAATTCATGTCACCCAAACCTGACTTTTACGATTGAACACGAGGAAAATAATATGATTAGTTCCTTAGATGTCTCATTAGTGAAAAGAATCGATGGATCTATAGAAAGGTCTATCTAGAGGAAACCTTCTTGGACAGGACAATACCTTCATTTTGTTATTCAACAGTGTTACAGCCCAATTTAAAAGTGGTATCCATCACGAAATCACAGTTGGAGAACCATTGAAATTCTGGAAGCACTGAACAGCTGTTTCATCTTAGTATTGGGCTCCCTAGCATTGATCACCCGTAACGCGGAGTTGAGAACCTTCGTGTTTCGCTGTGAGCATGTCTCCATTCAACCACTGGTTCGGAATCCACTGGCGGGCTCACAAGTACGCTCACTGCAGAGGAGACCATACTAGGACAAAGGATCTTTCCAGTGCTCCTAGGCTTTTGTGTACCAGAAGTTTATGATCCTGAATAAATCCGTGGTGATTTTTATTTCGTAACAAACTAGTATGTAGTTAAATTTTTGTGTCATTTTATTTCCCGTATGAATTGTTCAGCTTGTATATTGGGGGACTGGTCGCAATCGTTATCAGATTGAAGTTCCAGAATCTTTTGCATCTCGTGTTCCGAATTCTTGGCAATTAGCTTCACAAAGAAAAGGTGTTAAGCGTTACAGATGCTCTGAAACACAAGAATGGCTAAGTGAATTGTTTGCTGCTGAGGAATGCAAAGATGCTAGTCTTCGATCAATCATGCGACACATATTTTCAATGTTTAGCGAGTCGTAAGTTGTTTTTATACACCTGTTTTAGTAGATAGATACTGATAACTAACGAAAAATATGTTTACTTGTAGTATCATCTGACTTGTCATCATTAGTGTATACTTCCTAAAAAAAAGTAATACTCCGACAACAGAAATCAGTGTTTCGAGATTCTAGGTGATATAGCTCAGATGTATGCACAGTTTTTCTTCATCTTAACCGCTATACTAAATCTCGGCATTTTCTTATTCCCCCTTCCTCTCTTTTACTGATTTTGGCCAATTTTTCTTTCTTCATCTTTCATCTTACTACTTTGTTATTTGTTGTGGCAACTTGGACTGTTGTGCACTTATGTCTGGCCCTTTGTTGATATTAATTGGTTGAGTTAAGACAATTGAATCACTGTTGACTATTCCCCGTAAAATATGAATAATTGGCTACAATCCATTTTTTTCGTGTCATATCGATGCAGGACTTTCTCTTTATTCATTATTGTTACTGGTGCATTCAGTTCGATTCATGAAATAAAATTGTATAGACGATTTAGTCTTTGTAGATTGTGATCATGGCTACAAAATACTTTTAAAATTTTTAGATTTACCAAATGGCATGCAGCAATGACTTGTTTGGCTGAATTAGATTGTTTAATTGCTCTGTCACTGTACAGCACAAATGCTTTTGATGTCATGTGTCTTCCTGAATTCATCGATTTAAGTCCATCCATAAAGGTAAGTTGATTTTAATGGTTAGTATTGTTTCCGTAAACAGTATCTCTGTGTTTTATCGATAACACTTTTTATAGGAATGTTTCCAATATGATCAGTTCTAAGCTGATTTACTGTCACTCTTTGTATAAAAAATTATGCCTGAATATTTGAATATTTTATTTCCTAACAATATTTCACCGATGTGTACTGATTTGAATTAAGAATATTGCAAGCTCATGTTCCAATTTTTGAACTGAATTCTTTTTTCTCGTTTTGTTTCTGGTCAGATTGATTCTTGTCATTCGTGGTGCAACTGTGTTAATTTCGTAAAATTTATTGGATTTTGACTTAAGTCGACACTGTTCACAGTCGGATAATGATAACATTTTACCTTAACCTTTTTTTATAAAATGATTTTTTTTAGCCATTGATTCAGATAGTTGACGGGATTCATCCATGCCTAGTAAATACATTCTCAGGTGGAGACATTATTCCCAATGATATAAAACTCGGTGGCATGTCATCAGTGATCAATTCAGAGAATGCTGAGATGCAGAAATATACACTGAATAGTGTGTTCAATAATGCCTCCGTAGTTCTTGTTACTGGTCCTAATATGGGTGGTAAATCGACTTTGATGAGACAAGCAGCTTTACTGGTCATTCTAGCTCATTTGGTAGGTTGTTCAACAATTTTGCTTATTGCACACTTTCCTTTTATCTTGATAAACTTTATGAACTACAATTTTTTTCTTACCTGTTTAACTGTTCTATTCTATACAGGTTATGCTATTAGTTTGGTTGTTAAAACGATCATGTTTTATTGTTTGTAGACATGATTCATTTTACCAGAATGCCTACTATAACCTAATTACACTTTATTATATTTGCAAATTGTCCTAATTAATTAATGAGTGTTAAGTAGTTTAATGGTCACAAAAGACACTCGGTTAAGTACAGATGATTAGCTTTGAAACAAGTTAGCCACATATATGTAACTCAATATAGACAACTCATCAACTGCATCCATTGTATGATAGTTAGTGCTACCAATTTGTCTTCTAAGCTTTAGTAGACACAACGAGAGTTTTGTATATTCATTTTTGTGGAACACTTCGTTTATTCACTGTGTGAAAATCAATGTGTATTTACAGTTCACCATTACACTTCTGAAATGGAAATAATATTTATGTTTCTTCACATCATTTCTACTGGATTAGCATTCAGTCTTAGCTGAGAAAAATGTCAATAGTTACTCGTAAATTTGATGAAAAGATTATGGATTGATACATGTAATTCGATGATTTTTGGGTCCACTATATTTCGTTTAATCCCTCATAAGCGGTACGTTCAATAGACAGAATAATGCCTTTCCCCACAACTCAGTGAAATAAAATACTCAACAATTTTATACATAGTATGCACTTACACAATTTACTCTTCTGTTTATGAATGCTTATCAATGTTTTATAACAATATTCTTTTTATAAGTTTTTTAAAAATTATTTTAGGGTTGTCGCATTCCAGCCAAGTCCTGCAGACTAACACCTGTTGACCGTATCTTTTCACGCCTCGGTGCTAGTGACAAAATGCTTTCCGGCGAAAGTACCTTTATGGTGGAACTATCAGAGACAGCCGCTATTCTACGTCACATCACTCCGCACAGTCTTGTTCTGATGGATGAGTTAGGACGGGGCACTTCAACACATGATGGGGCAGCCTTAGCAGGAGCAGTTCTTTCTTACTTAGCCAAACCACTTGGAAACTTCAACAATGGTTATGGGCCTAGAACTCTGTTTTCAACACATTATCATAGTTTAGTGGATCAATATGTTAGTCTGAACCGATCTCCTCTGAATGAAGATGTTAACCAGTTACGTATTGGTTTAGGACATATGGTAAGTGCATGTATATAAAGACTGTCGTATACTCGTGATTTTTATTTAGACAAATTATTTCTAGGTAATAAATTTACACAATACCATGGAGACTTAAACTATATCCATTTTTACTTATCTTCATAATCACATCAGATTAAAAATTTCCTTTCGATACACTCAATTGAACAATTTCGTTCTGATGCTGCAAAGTAGTAATGTAATTTAACCGAACAAGAACGATATTACTAAAGCTTACAAACACAAAATCATTACAGAACCGCACAAATATATTCATAGAAAATAAATATTCTGATGATCTCTCCAACAGGAGTATGATTGAAACAGGATCATTAGGAGAACTTTTCGACCAAACAATCGTTTAGAAACCTGTTCACATTTGGAGAGATGTGCATTATTATGCAGAGATACGTTTGAATTCATAAAAAGACAATAAAGATTGCAATTATTTTCACATGAAACATGTTTGCACGAACTATTGTTTTTTAGTAAGTGGATTTTGAGAGTATTTTTTCTAAACTAAAATTGTAATTCTATGTCAAACAGTTCATACAATTGATTTTAAAAACGCTAATATTCATATTTGTAGGTGTTTTGCTATCATTGTAGTAAAAAGAACTAATCGGGTTTTTTTAGATTTAATTTCAGACGTCTTTTAGTGAATAATTTGTATGGACTGTGAGATAGATCGGGTTGGTTTATAAGTTTATTAAACAGACCTTCATTTCCAAGTTGACGAAGAACTTGCTCATGTGAAACTGATTTTCTGGACCTTATTTTACTGACTCTTTCATAATATGTGAGGAAACAGATACTAATACAGTTAATGGAAAAAAGTCAATAACTTGAAAGTGTTCTGTTCATTTTTTCTTAGTCGACACAAATCTCATTTCGAACAACAGGCTTTTCAACACTTTACAATAAATGCTAAAGGTGGTAATAATTTGTCTCTTGAAAGCTGCTGAAGCTGTTGCGATCAGATTTTAAGACCAAAACTGTGCACAAAAACAGTTTTCATGCTGTATCTCATTATAGTTCTGAATTATTCAAACTATTGTAAAAATTAATTTTTATGTCACTAACACCCTTTAAACACTTGGATTTCAGAAGATGCGGCCCGTTGATTTTAGCATTTAATTTTCCTGCAATTGGGTCTTGTTTCGTACCTGACTCCATTTGTTTTGACCCATTCAACTGAGTAGTATCGTTAGCTGTCGTAATAAATTATTTTCCATAATATATCAAATTCGTGTTCGAAATAAAATAGATGAAATAGGTATTTTTAGAAGTATTTGGTTTCCTGATGAAACTTTGATACAGATACCCATTTGCTAAACTTTTTATCCTCCTAACTAAAACGATGTTTAAATTTTTATGAATATAATTTTGTTTATTCGATATGATATTCAATATACTCCACACTGGTTGCATTATTTAATTGTGTGCTTATGTTCTAATGAGTTTTCTAGATTATTGATCCTATTGGGGTCTGTCACTCTACATTTGGCTAAATCCCCATGTCCCAATAATATAACTGACCCTGGTTAGCTAGTTTGACCTATGTACTTGACCTCATAGTTATTGGCATGGAATTCGGTAGATGAGATCATTTTGCTAAACTTAATCTATCGGGTTCTTAAGCCAACAGAGCCTGATAAATTATTCTCCTCTATCGTTTATTAAGAAATTTATACGGACAAGTAAGAAACGAAATGATAATAATACGAACTCGAATAATAGCGACAACACGAGTAGAAGTAAGTTCTAAGTCTGTATTGTGTTATCATATAGGGAAGAAACATCGGAAACTGCGTAGGATTCTCAGCTAGGCTGGAATAAAAGTGGCATTTCAACCAACAAACACCCGATAGATCCAATTTAGCAAAATGATCTCACCTACTGAATCCCATACCAATGACTATGAGGTCAAGTACATAGGTCAAACTAGCTAACCAGGGTCAGTTATATTATTGGAACATAGGAATTGAGCCAAATGTAGAATGACAGACCCGAATAGGATCAGTAATCTAGAAAAAACTCAGTTGTTGTAATGCATGCATTAAAACATGAGCATACAGTAGGGTGGGATGAAACCCACTGTAATCAAGTCCCATATCATTAGATAGATAGATAGGGAGAGAGAGAGATTGGTTACTGAATCTTTGTTCATCAAATTAACACTCACACATGTACCAGGAATGATACAACGCCTATATCAAAGGTATGGAAAAATTTACGATCAATAAAAACAAAGAATATAAGGTGACAGGACTATAAAAATCATGTCGAAAATAGTGTGATTACATTGAAATGATCATGACCAATAATTTATGTTGGGGACGTCATCAACTTAATCATACTGTATCACTGTGCTATACATTATGTAAACAAATCTATTATGGAAAGGAGGTTTCAATTTATGCATGGCTATCACCACAAATATCGGTATGCATTCTTAACTACTTCTATATAAAATATAAATGTGTATTAAAATTGTTCGAAATGTATTGCACAAATACATCACATTGTCCAGATAAACTTTATCATCTAATTACACTATCTAAATTCTATATTTCTCCAAAATTTTGTGCCCCTATAGGTTCGTTTGACCTGTGTCTTCTTCCTCGCAATGTCCATATGGTATTTGACAAATTAGGTCATTTTACTTAATTTGGTCTATAGGAGTTTCTCAACCTACAGAATTTCATTTAAAAAAATAGTGAATTATGGAACTGCTGACCCTACCTAGTAAGACAAGTAATCTAGACAAAAGACGATGCCACCGTGTATGCACTCATACTCACTACGGGATGGGTTAAAGTGATAGTTCTGAAAACTAATAAAATTAGGTGGAGAAAGTAATGAATTAATGAATCTTTGCTCATAGACTCAACGCTTTATGTATGCATTAGACTGAATTCATCACACATTGCAGATATTTAGAATATCCTATCATTCCTAGAGGTAAAAGAATGAGGATTTATTGAACTCCAAAAAGAGTTCTAATGTTGTGTGATTACTTTCTTATGACTCTAAGCATTACATCGTGCTCGAAATGTCATTTAACAAATAATATTGTATCGCTTTATGCTTTATCAAATAAATTTATTGAATATGGAATTATATGCTACCATGGTTTACTCCTGCCTTGTGGTCAAGTCATTCATCATCAGTCAGATAAAGTACTTTGAAACAATTTTTGGTCGCTATCACCCTTAGGATTACTTTCAGTTCCATTTATCTATCATGAGTTTAAATAGGACAACCTCTGTTATGGGTTCAACAGATCAACTTCGGAATGACTGGACTAAACAACGCCTATGTACTCAAGTAAAACACCTCGACATCTATGGTAAAATATTGGTAGTTCTACTGATGTAGTTTAACAGTAAGCTCCTTTGTAGTAACATCAATATAGACAACTAATAAAGCATTGAAATGTTTAGATTTATGTTTATTTCTATCAGAAAGATCGGTGTCTCATTATTCTCTTTCAATGTTATAGTCTTATTTCTTATAAGAATGCATATCGTGATATATTTTTATGGGTTCATAGAATTTGTCTATCTAGTCACTTTTCTTAAACTTCCACTGCATAACTTTCTTATCCTTTTTACTTATATTTATCAATATCAGGCGTGTATGGTTGAAGAACAGTCAGAGTCAGAGTCTGGTTTGGAAAATATCACTTTCTTATACAAATTTATTCCCGGTGCTTGTCCGAAAAGTTACGGTTTCAACGCAGCTCGATTGGCTCTACTTCCTGACGAGGTCAGTACTTAAGGCAATAATTTTTGTTGAAGATCCCTTTGAAGTTTAATAGATGAGTTTATGATGTTGTGTTAGTAGCCTGCTTAAATCATTTATTGATAAGTGCCTAAACGGTGATAAACTGGTATGGCTTATTTCATGCATATCTGAGTGACGATAAGGTCCACCCTAGCAACTAATGAAATTGGCTTCATCATTTTTTGAAAAAGTTACTTATCAGATCGAAATGGTTATTTCATTGGTCGCTAGTTTCCTTTAGGGTCCACTGCAAAATATAATAATTAGTTCTATCTGAATTTACTCTCACTTTCCTACGCTGATGAGTTCACCGACTAAAGTGAATACAGGACCGAGATTTGCCTCCTTACAATTATCAGTTTTTCTACCTATTTCCGGTGAATTAAATGCCCGCAAATTAGGAATATACATCAAGATCACGTATTTTACAAAGTGTGGAAAACAGTCAGACAATTATTTTTCAACAATTAACGGGTTGGAAGAAAACTTATAAAAATGGCTGCAAAATAGTACCATCAGACAATTGTGCAGGAGCCCATGTGCAAATAGAGATCGTTTAATTCGGTCCAGTGAACTATAAGACAATACAAGTAACGATATAAAAAACTATACCCTTCTCACAAAAAGTGGTTATCGTGACTTGGTGGCCTAGTGGGTAACTCTTTGGTGTTTGAAGCTATCGGTCCAGGGTTCGAGTCTTAGTGGGGACAACATCGCCTACTGGGAGGTAACTACATCCAGCTGATGGATCTCAAATAGGCAGGAACGTGCATCCTAGATTCCACTCTTAGCCACTACCCATCATTAATATAGAATATCGAAACAAGTTATCTTTCTAGACAAAAAACAATAATCGACTAAAGATATCTCACCAAATTTTACGTTATCATTTCATTTATTCCTTACTGTAATTAGTTCGATTTCTCTTCCTTGTCTCATCACTGCGTAACATACTGTTTAATATTCGTGTGTTAATACGATTTCATCTACTTTTTGTGAACATATTATTTATATCATTAAAATTTGTACATATTGGGTTGTGGTTTGCAACCAGTCTCTAGTTCTATGTGTAGTTTTTAAGTAATGCCGAATTTTACATTAATCAGTCTGATGTTAAGTAGTTGCATTGTTCAGTGATAAGTGTGACATAAACACTGCGTAGTATGGATCAGTAAGAGATACTTTTATCCCCTTAAAAGTATTTTTCACCACATATATCTAGATGCACATTTCGACTAAAATGTAACATCAGAAAGTGTTTCTTTCATATAGTTATTCTATTTTCTAACCTCGTAGGTTACTCGATTGGGTTTAATGAAAGCTAAAGAGTTCGAGAAAACCACTGCAACTTTTGCATGTCTTAGGTAAGTATTATGTATGACATTCTAACTGTAGAATCATTATTGTTCATAAGCTAAACGCTTGATGCGTTCCACATCCTTCAAATTATCATCACCCATTTCATCTCACAGTCTAGTCCTAATGATAAAATATCTGATTGAAAGGTTTATTTATTATTTAGAAAGATTTTGTATGCTGCATTATATGCTGTTTTACTGCCCCACTAACGACAACGTAGAATAAACTGGACATTGCGAAGCCTTGCGAAATAGTATTTCTACCTTCAGCTACTTCGAAATCCAACCAGTGTTACTCAAGCAGGTTGTATATGTGTTTGTGCACTTAATTACTATGTGAATGTATTCAAATCCATATTTGTGGAGTGGGTGTGAAATTCTAGCTCACTGACTGACAGTCTGATTATAGGAATTATTGAACTATACATTAAAGTCAATAACCGCACTTGTTAACATAAGAAATGTGACTCAGCTTTAAAGCAATGAGTCACAAGTTCGTACATTAGTCTGCATAACTGAGTAGTACTGTAGCCTTGTCAACTGATTGACTGTTGCTCCTAGCCTATCAAATGAAATGAACATTTAATGGATGAAAAGTTAGAAATCAAAGAATGATTGAAGTAGAAGCTACAAGCATGTTAAAGAAAACGAGAAGTTCATTGAAGATATCTTTTTCGGCGATTTCATTCTCCATAGCTGTACAGTTGCAATTTATACATTTTTGTTTAACTATATTGGATGGTTACAATAACTATTTAGTTAAACCTAGTAACAAAGATCAAGTTGTGTACAGTAAAAATTCACAAGTGTGATGCATAATGAAAATTAATCACAAAAAAGCATAGAAACCAACATAATTGACGTGATAGAATTTGTTGCATAATGTGTAAAGTTAATTTTCAAGGTAAACCATGATCAAGGATAACATGGGAACAAAATGAAGACGATATTGAGTTAATAAAGTACATCATAAAACACGACAAAATTGTGAATAATAAGGGAGAGAGAGACAGAGGTCGTTGTAATATTAACAATTTACTAAGTCCAACGACGGTTGAACAAGTGTCTTTTATACACATAATTCCGGTTTCTCTATGCATAGGGTAAGAGCTTCTGTAGTTCAGCGAAAGCGGAAGCACACCATTTTCGGCCAATTTCTTTTCATCCTGAAGATGACTTTCCACACTGAATCGGTTGTGATTCTGTGACCACTAGTGACAAGTTCTTAAGTTATTGCACTTCTGATGGATTCACTCACGTTTCTTTGCAGTCAGATGGAGTAATGTTCTCTAGCCTGACCTACATACCTGGCTCCACAGGAGCAAGTGAATTCATAAACACATATAAAAGTGGTTAGATGCGGAAGTTCATCCTTCGGGTTACCAGGATACATTGAATGACTGGAGAATATTATCCTCAACGTTGACGCGAAGAAAGTTTTCTTTAGCGAGTTCAAAACTCTTCCCTTCAAGATATCAGCAGTGAGGTCACCTTTAAAGTCAAGATTCATGCATATTATTTTCTTTAGAACTGAATTTGGTATCTCCTCTTTGTGGTTTGAGTTTTATGTTCTATCCACAAATCGTGCTGGATATCCATTTTCAACCAGAATCCTTTTGAGTAACGTGAGTTTTACTTCTAAGCTATCAGTGCTGCAAATCCTTTGAATACAGTGACTAAAAGACACAATAAGTGTTCCTTTTCGACTTATTGGAAATCCATCAGCTGACCATTCCATACAGGCTTTCTGTAAGTTCATCTCAATGTCCCATCATCTCATCTAGCGAGTTCTATCATAAGCTGACTAGCGTGCACGAAATATGATCGACTAACATCTTGTCTTTATTGGAAAAGTAAATACAGTTATAACAGTGTTGTGTCTGGTTGGCTGTGGCTCTTTTATTACAGGTTGATATAGAGAGAACTGTGAAGCATAAGTTTATATGCATCACAGTTTATTTCTAAACAGCCTAAGCGTGATGAAATAGCCGTTTCCTATGCGCTGTTTGATTTCTTCACTGAGTAATTTCTGAATTCAAACAGAGCCACAAATTATCCACGTCATGAGTATGCACAAGAGTCCTGTGGTGTTGTTATCTAGACATTGCTCCTGGATGATCAACAGAATCATTTTTAACGTATCAGTGTTAACCAGTTATAATAATCAGGTTGAAATTTAGAATCAATATGGCAGTAAAACTTTGGCACTGTCGTAGATTGTAATTCCATTTTAGTCTGTTTATTAGATGGGTCGCACAGTGAAACAGTATTATTTACTAGATAACGTTTCTGACTCATTTTATTGTCCATATTCATATCAAGTAACTCCACAACTCTAACATATTGGCTGTGTAGTTCTAATCCTCTCTCATTCTTTGTGATCATGGTAGTGGAATTTTGCAATCACCTGGAACAAGTGCAGGGTCATTCCTATTGCATGTATTTGGTGCTTTGATAAGCAAAGACTTGGCTATCAATCTCTCCATTCAGCAGCTAAGTTTTTAATACTTGTCGCTGTCTCCTACCTTATTGTGTGCAATTCCATGCATAGCTAAGCCAAGCTTTTCTCTAGATTCTAGTCGTATTCGGATCTACTAGTCTTGATTCAACTTAGTTCTTGTGCCTTGTTATTCTTATTAACCCTGGTCGACTACTTTGACCTATTTATTTGACCTCGCAATCATTGCAACGGAGTTGGTAAACTAAATTATTTCGCCTAATTGAATCAATAGGATCTTTTAGCCTATAAGGCTTTTTCCCAAGCAAGTTTCTCGGTTTAAATGCCACTCTAATCCCAACCTTATTAAGACTAGTGGTAACACCTCCGAGGCGCCTTTTCTGAATATGGACAGTGTATTATTTCGAAGCACCCTCCAGTAAATATTACTGTGTGAAACATCTGATAAACAGAATAAAATGGAGTTGAAACACCGGAAGATTTCAAATAAGTCACTTATATACTCGAAAATGTCTAGTCTTCATGGTATACAAGGTCGCTCACCTGTTCGAGTAGTGTAGTGTCCCGCCTCATAAACAGAATAACTGTTATCTTACTTCGACACAGCCAATAGGTCCACTTGTTATATGTAATTGTTATCCGTAAGCATTTACAATGCTTATTTAGGGAAAGTGTAACTTAATCTGAGAATTTTTATGTTACGAAAACATTGCTTAGTTGTTAGGTGCTTCTCAAAATTATTCAAGCCACTAAGACAGTCTACGAAGTAAGTGTTAAAGTGATCAATAATCTTCATAGACGCTCTAAAAATCAGTGAGCCACTTTAAACAGCATATCTGTTGACTAGAAAGCTATATGGTGAATCTCTTCCTGTGTGGTTATTTAACAATGACCTGCCTATGGAATTTAAAGCACTGCAATGTGAAAGTGTAGAAAATATTCCTAGAGCTACAAAGTAATAGTGCTCAACCTAGGACATTCTTTAACGGAAATAGTGGTCACACATTGCGCGTAGTTGAGAACACTATATTCCTTGATATCTGGATTACGTATAATGTCAGATTGTTAGAGGCGTATTTTTCGCCCACTGAATGTGGAATGCTACTGTTAATCGACTTAACTGTTTAGCTTGGACAACAGATCACCTTCACTACATAGGGTTTGGCATCAACTCGGTCCAATTGATGACTGACAAAAGGGATATTATATGCCCATTCAACTTTTTCTGCTTAATATCACCCTTAACCCACTCATTAAATATGTAAGCTACAAAACGTCACCATTATATGATGAATTATCCCTTCAAAAGTTTTGTTAAATTTTTCGAGTGAGATCTGGCACGGAGCGGTGAGGTGAGGAAAGAAAAACAGTCGATGAGATTATCAATTTACATCCCGTATAATGACTGGGGGATGTGTTGTGCGTGTCTAACTTGCCTACATCGTCTTGTTTTAACTGGAGTCCGGGTACAATGAAACAAGCTTCAGTACAATTGTAGCCTATAAATGCTCTCTTTAGGGTAAATGGTAGGGGTGCTAGGAAGCCAGGTGATATGACTTGACATCTATCTTTGTGGTAAAAACACGTATATTCCTTGTCGCCCTGTGGATTTTAAATCCATTCTGATTTTTTCGCTTTATTTTTATAACTTCTCTATTATGGAAATCGTATTACTATGTGTTTTCTTCCTGATATATCTCTTTATTATGTTGATGTGGATTGTGGTAGGTGAAACCAGTACACTTGTATCAGTCTAACGTGGAAACCTAGTTAGCAATCACATCCGGGTGTTGCTTTTTTGTGCGCGCTTTTGCAGCCGTCTTCACTTTTGAATCGTGAAAAATATCACTTTGTATGAGAATCACAGACCCATTTGTAGAAATTGTAAACCATTATTTGTTTCGTTACCGTAGCAAAACCTTGTAATCTGAATTGGATAGTTTAGAAATGCATGTTTCTAAACATAATTATTTAGACCCATTGATTTTAGTAAGCTGTTGAATACTAGTTTTCCGAGCTTTCACAACTGGGTTTTATTTACTAAATACTAGTTTAAACCAATACTTATGACCAATTGTTGAATGATAACAACTATTAAATCAAAAAGAACAATAATAGCAGAGCTAACTGCGTAAGTAAAACTTGAGCACTGTAGTAGAATGTAATTTCATATTAGTTGATTGGTTTGATGGAACAGTATTGTTTACTGTAATAATACAGTTCCACTTTGTGATATATTTAATAAATCAACCAAAATATAACTAATTGTGCTGTAAACAGAAATTGAGGAAGAACTGGCCTTTGTTGAAAACTGTCTAGGCGAAAATGGTTATCCACAGAAGTTCATTGACAAGTACAGTAGGACAGAAGCGAAGATAATTAAGGGTAGTACAGTTGACAAGATGCTCGTCTTCAAAGTAGATGATATCCCTACACGGATAAGTCATAGACTAAGTGCTGCTATTAAAAGGACCTATCCAATCGCCAAGTTAGTCTGTGTATCAGACTAAATGCCTATTGGAACAGTCCAAAGTGGAGAAGTTGCCAACTCGTGTTACATCCAACTATATCTTCCGATTCACATGTACGTGCCAAAGCACATCCCTGGGAAGAACAGAGGGAAAAGTCCTTGTCCACATTTCGAAGAATTTGAGTCCTTAAAGTCCACAGGGCCTAAGTGGTGCAATCGCCTGGCATTTCCTTCATACTGGACATAAAGTCGACGCATTGAAGTCATCCAAAATGAACAATAAGCAACTGAAACCCACCCTTTGGCGGTTTCGTGCAGCAGTTGCAATTAAAACACTCAAACCTGATCTATGTATTCAGAAGGAAACTGTTATCAATCTTGCATTACCTTGGTAATTTTTATCTCCTAACTTTTTAAATACAAGATTTAATAGCTCTTAGTTTTTTCACTTTATTCTCCTATTTCAAAAACTACTCTCACTTTCTGAGTTGTATTGATCTTATTGCTCAATATGATGAAAACCTTTTGGCCTACTTAACCGTGACACCACTTTCTGCCAATTCTAGAATACATATATATATATATATATATATATATATATATATATATATATATATATAATCTTTAGCTCCTCTCTAGAACGTTGATTCTATCACTGTATAAATAGTTAACCTTTGAGTAGTCTTATAAACTTTATCAATATCGGTCAACCTGGATCTTTGTTACCTTTCATCTCAATTCGGAAAATTCTTGTCGATTTATTAAAATACGTTGTATAACATAATGTTCATCATGGACATTATATTCTAAAGCAGCTGATTAGAATCCATGAAACACTTGCACGCTAATTCTGCTATTACTGTTCTTTTTGCTTTATTCAAATTCGTGAAAGAGAAGAATTGTATGGAACTATCAAATCGTATGCAATTGTAAATTTAAGTGGAAGGGTTGATTTGTTTACTCGGATGTTGACCAACAATATTTTAGGATTCCTTTGAATAATGTAACAGCAAGTTTTGACTGCCTTACCAAACCTTATCTTGTAATTTGTAGTCAAACCTGGTTCTTATCGTATTTGTGGTCACTTCAGGCGTAACCAAACGTCATTTGACTGTGATGTCAAACTAAATCGTACACTTACACGTGTTGAACCCCTATGGACTAGTAGGATTATATTTCTTTTATCCGTTTATATATATCAGCTTCTTTTTGTGTTAGAAATTTTAACATGGTTTACACTTTATGTTTCAGAACACTATTGCAAGGGCAAATGACGATAGATGACTTACGGCATTGGCATTTTAAATTGAAGACTTTTTATGACAGAGTTGAGTTTATTTAGATTTTCAGATTCTGCATTTCATTCTTAAACATCGATAAATCCATACTTGTTGATTTCTTCATTTTACACTGTATAGTTGGGATCATTTTTTAGGACAAAAAGTTTCTAATCTGAATTCCTGTTTGGAATTATGCTTGTTGTCAATTCCGATACATCATAGGTCTAATTTAAGTGGAGTTGGGTCTATGAAGCATTGGGAAAAATGAAAACTTTGATCTGCAGGTCATGTTCTCAGAAAATGAGTCAATGTATTTGGCATCGCGTGTAGGCTTCCTATACGTTAAACTGATTTGTAATATAATACCGCTTGATTCTTAGTGTTAATGTACTACATAACTTACTAGGTGTGTAAAGAACATACATACATTACTTAACTTTGATGAATTTAGTGAGTGCAAAAGTGAGGCGAAATCTTACATGTGAAAGATACAATTCAGCAGGCTTAATTAGATTTTTAAAAGCTCCATTTATTGTTTCTTGAGTTACTGGGAGTTGTAGAAGGAAGAATTAAATCAATTACGTTTGCAAATGGGCAAGCGCAGCAAAGGTCCTTTTGAATGAATACACTTCTGTTATATTACTTGGAAAATGCCTTAGCTAATTTATCGTTTATACAATATGATACTCAGACTGCAATGCCGTATACGTGTAAAAGAGTCCACGCAAAATCAAGGCTACAGGGATTGGACACAGTTGTGTTTCTATCTGACCCTATAGGAATACATTACAGCTTATAAACATTCAAGTATACCTTTACATGCTAGAATATCAAGTTATAAGGTTGACTTATACGATATTGGGATTCAGCTAAACATGGAATGTGATATCTATCGCCTCGGTAGATAGGAGCGTTCGACCTCACTTGTCATTGAAATCCTTTGGAAACTCCCATTACAATTCAAGAGTTTCAAAAACAAAGAATACTATTTTCGATAATTTCTTTCTCAGGCTTTACAGTTTTGCATCCGTATTGTTTAACCAAAGAATAAATGTATGTGAGCGACAGATTTTATGAAGGTCAATGTAGTTCAAAGTCATCAATAAAAAACAGGACTAGGCGTTACTGCGTGACGGTTAAAGTTGCCACAACTCATATCAGCACATCCAAGTAACAAAGCAATAAGACGAAGAAAGAAAAATCGGCTAAAAGCAGTAGAAAAAAGTCAAAGGTAGAAATGAGAAAAAAGATGGAGTACGGATACATCTGCGCCACTGACATCTATTTCGAGTCACTGGTTGTAATTCAAGATAATCGACTATACAGAAGATAATATTTCCCATACTATACTTGATGAATAAAATCTATTATTCCAGAGAGTTGTCGATACTAAAGCTGACCAGTATTCGTAGCAATGGCTGCAAATGTTTCTTTTCTACACATGATTCAGACTGTTTAAGCCGAACGACTCCAGTTTTTCCATATTAGATTTGTTTATTTGATATAAAGCGCACAGTGATACAGTATTATTTACTTGATTACGTTCCGAGCATAAATTATTGCTCATAATCATATCATATCAATACATTGATATGATTATGAGCAATAACTTGTGCTCGAAACGTAATCAAGTAAATAATACTGTATCACTGTGCGCTTTATATCAAATAAACAAATCTAATATGGAATTACATTCTACCTCAGTGCCCAAGTTTTTCACTTATATTAATGACTCCAGTTTTTGTTATTTGAAGTATTCGGTATCTAGTAAGTTTTGGTAAATTAACGGAGACACCACAAATAACTGATTCAGTTTGTTTGGACTAAGTCAGCTAATGTCGAGCTACTAACATTTTTCGCTACACCTTTATTTAGCTTGGAGATGTTTACAAGCACGGAAAACGATGTTCCACAGAACACTGGCAAACATAGCAGCAGTTGAAGTAGCCGACCTTGGTAACACAACCGGCCTTGTTGATTTATCTGTTTGTCTACCATATAGCGCAGAACATTCGGTTCAGTTGGCTTCTACGAGACGTTTCATACACTGGCTTTCCCTCTTTTGCTGATTAATTACTGTACTGAAGTGTATAATACTGTGACAACTTGGTGTTTAAAGTTACGAAAAACACCTATCCGTTTCACTTCAGACAAGCATGTAGTACTGTGTGACTCCAATGTTTAAAAAGTAATCTTAAGACAAACCACTTCCCAAAGTGAGGAAAAAGTCAAGAGTAATAGTCCAATTTATTGAAAAGAAAACGACTCGTTATTTAAAAAAACAGATTTCATTATCGTGGACACATGATAGATCGACCACCATCAACCATTAATGAATTACCAGTAGTAAATGAAGAGGCAGAACTCGCAAGAAAAGCAATAGCTTGTGCCACTTCTTCTACTGTACCAGTTCGACCGAGGGCATGTGTCTCTTTGGCTTTTGACAGAAAATCACCATAGTCCTCTTCTGACATCCCAGACCGCCGATGCAATTCAGTAACGATAACTGCCGGGCTGGAGAATAAAAAGACACTAATTAAAGGCGAACAAACTTGAAACCCATCAATGGTAAAATAAAATGAACAACTTCGAGACTGGCTAACACCGACAAAACTACGCATACAACACCAATAACTGAAGCTACCAAGTTTTCACGTACAGTACTCAGTTAGACGAGTACACATGTAACTGCTTATGCCCTCTGGTTAAATTATTCAGTCAGATATCAGAGGAATAGAAGCATACCGGTAGAAGCAGACGATGCTAAATTTTCAGCATATTAGAAGTTCCACTAGCAACTAGTAGAAATACAGCAATATTAGGATTGGGTACGCTGTATTAAGTAATAAAACGTGACATCAACACGAATTAATCAACTTTCGTTGAATGGGCACACAAACGACAGTCGTGTATTGCTCAAAAAAATTATCAATGACTTTCAAGATAAGTGGGTGCTGTAGGTAAGTGACGTCCTGAATATACTAACAATAGTCGTATAGTGAGTCAATAAATATGAAAAAGCCTTTATAAAAACGGATCCACCTTTAAACCACATCCTTAACTGGACATTTGGAGTCAGTATATTGCTTTTCCGTAATAAATATTTCGAAAAACTAAGTGCCACATCCATGCTATATGTAAACGAAGTAATGACACAGGCCAGTTATGGTAAGGATAGAATAGTTACGTGATAACTGTACTGTTTGTAAGCATATTAGTTTGGATTTCTAGAACGTGCTTCAAACGCATGTGAACTCTAATGAGAAGGCAAGGTGCTTAAAAATCAAAGGTAAAACATTCAAAGTTTTCATCAGTGTTGCATTCTGGATTTTAAAAAAGGTATTCAGCGAAAGGACTCTTTTCAACGAATTTATTCTCAAGCTGTACATTCGTGTATATATAAAGACTGTAATCTGTGAGGAAGATTTAACTTAAATAATGGGGGTTGAAACAATAATAATCGTGGTTACAATTACAATGTTGCTAGTTGATGACGTAAAGGTCGAATAATAAGAAAAAAGGGTTACGCAAGATTTTCAAATCGTTTATAAAGTGCATATAGATTAAAAAGGGGTGAGATCGTTAACAAGCAATCAAAGGATTAGGTAATATAAGTGAGACAAGTTAATTGGAGTAAACTGAAAGTATTTTGTTAAAGGTTGCGATTATAATTATCATTATAATTAAAAGAAGATAACCCTCGACAGGTCACATCCATGTGTACCTACCAGTTCACCTGCTCCTGTGGAGCAACGTACATCGGCCGTAATCAGAGATTGCTGTCAACACGTATACGAGAACATATTCCGGCCTGGTTTTATAAGGGTCAAAGGAAATGCACCAGAAGTCCCATCCTTGAGCATTTAATCGATTCCAACCATTCAACCCACCCAAACAATGATTTCAAGGTTGTCTATCGAATCCGCCTAAACACCACGTTTCCTACGTATTCAGCTTCTGAAAACAGTAGAGGCCTTGACTTGGTAACATGAACTGAAGCCTGACCTTTGTGTGCAAAAGAAGTATGAAGAGTCTTTGTCTCCACCTCGGCTTTAATTTATTTTAGTCTTGGTACGCTTCGGCCCTTTTTTTGTCAGATTAGTCTTTGTACTGTTATATCGTCATTATCATTTTGTTTTTTATATTTAATTGTTTCTGGTGTCATTTCATTTGATCTTCTTAATAATTGCAATCTTTAACAAATCACTTTCAGTTTACTCCAATTAACTTGTCTCACTTATATTATCTAATCCTTTGATTGCTTGTTAACGATCTCACCCCTTTTTAATCTATATGCACTTTATAAACGATTTGAAAATCTTGCGTAACCCCTTTTTCTTATTATTCGACCTTTACGTCATCAACTAGCAACATTGTAATTGTAACCACGATTATTATTGTTTCAACCCCCCATTATTTAAGTTAAATCTTCCTCACAGATTACAGTCTTTATATATACACGAATGTACAGCTTGAGAATAAATTCGTTGAAAAGAGTCCTCTTCGCTGAATATCTTGTTTTTGATGTCACAATGGGAATTATGAACGTACATCCTGGAGTCAATAAGAGCATTATTTCGGAACCATCCTTCCCACAATGAATACTTCAATCAGATACTTTTTAACTCACAAGAAAAAAGGGAAATAAACTTCACCTAGTGATAATAACGTACATTTACAATTCTACTGGTGTTTCACTAATTGCGCTAGTAGACTACATAAATCAGAACTATCTAACATTAGTATGCAGTAATTGTAACAAATCCGTTACTTAAATATTTCTCACGCTGACCATGTCATTTATAACGAATGATACAGCTATCAGAAATATGACCACCTCTATCTTCATTAACTGTAACTGCATTTATTTTTATGGAAATTCTTTTAAAATTATCACAATGAATATGACACAAAGCTTACTTGACACCATTCACCCGGATTCCTTTTGGAGCTAAATCTGAGGTAGGAAAACATTAAGATACAAGTTGGATGAATTTGGCAATATGTTTGTAGAAATAACTAAAAATAACCTTTAGAATAAGTCCATTTAACGTATAAGTGTAAAACTTCGGCAATGTGGTAGGATGTAATTCCATATTGGATTTTTGTATTTAATATACATCGCAAAGTGATACAGTAGTATTTAATGTGTATTCACAATAAATAAGCTCTCTATGACTTTCATTTTAAAAAGTTTTACTCGATGTCAGTTACATAATAATCGAAAAGTTTACAACGCATACATGCATGAACTTCAACAGATAAAATATAATCGTCAGATATATCATACAATTCTTCACATTCACGAACTTGACTGATATGGAAAGTAGCAAGGAGGTATGCTGGTCAAAATTAATGATCTATACAATGTAATAGAATGAACACATTATAGGAGATGGAGAAGCTGGTATGGGACTGCAAATAATGGTGAAAATGCCTCTGAATTTTTCTAAGTAAGCACACAGCATAGCCTTCATCAGGAAATGTACAACGTCATATAGATGAAAAAACTATAGATATATTCATCGGAAAAACATATGAGTCGGCTTTATTTAAACTTCAATACCTTCTGCCCCATTAGTTACAAAAAAAACTAGTAAGAACACTTTTCAACCACAAACACTGAACATATTCTGAATAGTAAAATGAGGAGGAATTGGTCATTCTCGAATACTGTCTGCGTGAAAATGAATACCCACAAAAGTTCATTCATAAGCACGGTAAGAAAGAGACGAAAAGAATCAAGTTCATGCAGTTGACAAAAAGCCCATTTTTCTGCACTTTGCTTTCACAGAGGATGAAACTGTCCAGAAAACCAAACACTAGCTAACCATTGTAATGAACAAAGACCTATCCAGCCTTCAAGATAGTCTGTATTTACCGGACCGACTGTATATTGGGAAAATCTAAAATGAGCAAGTTGCCAATTCTTGTTACCATCAACTGTATTGACTGACCTCACAGGCAGTTCCGAGTATCAATCAATCAATATCAACATAGGACCAGGCATTACTGCGTAACGGTCCGAGTTGCCACAGCTCATATCAGTACATCAAGTAGAGGTAGTGAGGTGAAGGATGAAGATAAGAGAATGCAGTCAAAAGAAATATAAAGTACGAGAAGAAAGAAAAGAGGAGTAACAAAATGGTGAGATTCGGTATAGCGTTGTTAAGATGAGGATAATGTGTGTATACATCTGCTCCACTGACATCGGTTCTCAGCCATATCACCTACAGTCTCCAACCACTGGTTCCTCTTGTCCCATGGACCCCAACCACCTAGTCTGCATCGCCCCACATAGCTCAAACCAACAGTCAAACACTTCATACATTGGTGCCCTGTTTTAGTCTGGCCGCCTTGTGCTTTTTTCCAGCCTGGACCTACTTTAAACAACATTGTGTGATGAGGCAATCGGTGACTAGGCATACGTAGTAGGTGTTCCAACCATCTCAATCGATGAAGGTTCATAACCTCGTCTACTGATTTACCTCTTCTCCCCCAAACTCTACACCTGACTTCTGCATTACTCACATGGTGACACCACGGAATACGTCCTATACTACGAAGGCAACGGTGGTCAAACACTTGAAGCTTTCTTATATCTTCCACTTTCAATGGCCATGTTTCACAGCCATACAGTAGAACAGACCAGACTGCTGTGCAGTACACGCGACCCTTAGTAGACAAATGGATATCACGGCGGCGCCATAGGTGGCGTAAATTGGCAAAAGCCAATCGAGCCTTTTGTATCCGTGCAGAGATTTCATCGACAGCTAACCCACCAGGGTTGATCCTACTTCCCAGGTATATATATATATATATATATATATATATATATATATATATATATATATATATATATATATATATAGTGAGAATAAATTCGTTGAAAAGAATAATCTTCGCTGGATTATCTTGTTTTTTGGTGTCATAATGGGAATTACGAGTTTATTGATTAAATAAAGTCTTAAGTTGGTCAGTCAATATCAACGTGGGACCCGGCAATACTGTATAACGGTTCAAGTCGCCACATCTCACATTCCGATACAGAATGTGAGATAAAAAGTAGAGAAATAAGGAGAATGCATAACCAAGAGTCGTAAAAAGTCATGGGAATAGAACAGGAGGTTGAATAAATAATGAGGTGTAAAAGGATGATTGGTATGGAGATAATGTATGGATGCATTTAGGCTAAGACCTATCTAGAACCACAACATTTAGAGTGTATAACCAATGACTCCTATTATCTCGTGAATCTCTCGCCGGACAGTCTTCACCTTTCTTCCCAGAGCAACAGGCAAAGACTAATTCCACGTTTTGTTCCGACCACCTTTACCTTTCTTCTAACCCAACTCTACTTCAGTCAACATTGGGCGACGAGGCAGACGGTGACTAGGCATGCTTAACTCGTAACTGTCACCTGAGTCGATGAAAGTCCACAACTTCATCCACTGACTTGCTTTTCTCCATAAAACTCCATGCCTAACCATCATTTTTATCTGTTACTTTTATTAAAGATTTGTTTATTAAGCTAAACGGTAGACGTTACTTTGCAAAACTTGGTTTTTCGGAAACTTATTCGCAAGTAGAGGTGGGTACTGATTCTGAAGAATTTGTGACTATCAGTAACCAACTTGTTGAAACCACTTAATGTGTATCATCCTATTTCTTATGCATGGAATCAACTATTCCATTTTTATGAATTATGGTGACTGTATTGATAATTTTTGGTGACCTTGTATTGACCGACTAGTTATTGACTGATGGGCGTATATTTTTGTTGTAGCTATAAATACGACTATGAAGCTTCTGAAAATGATTCCTCGCAAAGGAAATCTTTTCAATGAATTGTCTTTTGTTAATTTCTCATGAATTACCGTTTTTCGAGGATAGGTAATTCAGCTATATGCATAGATGGCTCACACTGTTACAATACAAAGACAATAAGCGTCAGACTTTGTGTAGTAATGTACAAGCTTAGGGGTGGGGAGGAGGGGGGGTAAGTTGTGTGACTCATCACCTGGGTAAATTGAGCATATGAGAGGTGTAAATATATGCGAGATTACTCACTTCTAAGGTCAGCACTGAAGGTGAACTGGAAAAACTACATATTTTAGAAAATTCCTGGTAGTCAGATTAGGATACTTATCACCTAAAGAATCGAATTATTGCAGTATTTATCTTACTGTTACTGAATTAGGAAGTGTTTACTACGGATATCACTGACTGCAACTATGTTCAAGGCATAAACCAATGTAGGATTCCGTCTCCGCTGTTTTCGTGTAGCTTGTTACGTCATTACTTTCTCTGTATGATATGAAAGGAATTTCAATCATCGCTTTAGAAGTAATTTATCAGTCCCAGTAGATAAATTAACATTACTGTGTCTAATTATGTTTTGTTCTGTGATATATTGACTTGCATATTGTTTTAAGATATACTCGTATGTAAAGAGAAATCTGAATTCTCGGTCTTTTAACAATTTTTTAGGTATATCATAGTGGCATATAACTAGAAAGGAGACCTGTGTGCAATTTAACAATCACATACAACTTTCTGTAAAATGACATAAATCACGTATATCGCATGAGTGAGCAATAATGAGCTTTCATCTCACTCTCCTAGGTTGGAGCGTAGTATAAACCAATAATCAATATCTTATAAATAATACGATTAGGTTGAGGAGACGTAATACTCTTTAAATGTTGTACTACTTCGGACTTCATTATAGAACGTTTATTTTACAGACTTCTCATAAATACTTTATTCTTCATATTTGAATGATTTCAATTAGTTTCACTCTTACATCTCTAACATTCTTTCGTAATTCAGTACCTTAAGTTGTTTGAAACCAACCTAGACAGAAGCAGAGAAGGTTGATTTGAAATGCGTCTAATTCTTTAAAACTTGAACCACTAAAAAAATTCGCTTTATATATTTTATCCATCAACTGTGAGTTATCTAGTCAGTAGTTTCGACTGGGATCGGTTCATCTGTATCACAGCAAATGAACGAATTTCATCTTCATTAGGAATAACAAATCGTCTCCATCCACCGACTGTTTTACACAGGTTTTCTCTTATCCTGATTATCTCTCTTCATCACTATCTCACTGCTAGTAATTATATACCAAACAGTTTTTCCAGTTCACCTTTAATGCTAACCTTACAAGTGAATAATGTCGCATATACTTGTACACCTCTCATATGCTCAAATTCACTCACGTGATGAGTCACACAACTTGCATCCCCTTCCCCACACCCCAACTTCGTACAATACAACACAAAGTCTGACGCTTATTGTCCTTGTATTATGGCAATCTCAGCCATTTGTCAATATGCAGCTGAATTACCTGTCCACAAAACACGATGATTCATAAAAATGGAATAACTGATCCCATGCGTATGAAATAGACACAATACACAGATCTATTTCACTCAACAATCAATGATTTCTGAACCTTAAGGCGTAGAGAAATGAGTGAGAGATTATTGAGATGGTCTAGAGCCAAGCTGTACAGTGACGCTATAAAATCAGTCTTAGGTAAGCTATCTTCCAAATTAAGTGAGAAAATACTAGTCATGCTTGTCTAAGATTCATGCTTTTTGGGTTGACAAGACAACTAGCTGGCGAAACTTCAGACCGAATTTCAGAAAAAGGCAGACTTCGGTTATCTTTGAAAAGGATGTAGAAGAACTTTACTTACCTAATGCAGTGCACCTGGTAAATTGATCCAATGCTGCTTTACTAATACAATAAGACATTACCCCCGGAAACTAAAAAAGAAAACAGGTATTTTTAGAGTAAATAGAATGAGTGAAAAACGTAGTGCTTCAAAGTGTCACTAGTCTCAGAATGCTCATTACAAATTTAAGATTTTAAATGCAACTGGCTACAATACTCAGTTTGAACGCATTACACATATTTTACCCTTTAAAAGGCTTCAATAATTAAAAATACGTAATGAAGCGGAAGGACGCTGAGTAAATGAATTGGGAGGTGTCTTGGAAGACTCTGTTGTATATTGTAGACAATAAACATACTTCCTGAGGCCATAGGTTCACTGTCAACTAGGTGCAGTAGTTTGCGTAATGACAATCTATCAAAATGTATAGGAGAACGTTTACTGAGGACTGCTGAAGCTTCGAGAACACAGGAATGAAAACCTGAATTGTGTATCACAGAAGCAATCTTCATATCGACTTTTTAACTTGCCAGTTCTGAAGCCTAACCCACATTTTAGTTTTTAATTTTATGTTTCAGTAAAAATTTAGAACTAGATATCATTTTATCTTTCGAATTCTCACTAACGGATATTTACGTTATACATATCAGTCCCTTCGACCGATAGCTTCAAATTGAGATGTGTCAAACTTTTCTAACAAAATGAAATAATGCCTGTTGGAACACTTGTTACTTAAGACCCTACCATGGCAGGAAGCTTTGTCGGGTAGTGACAAGATTTAAAACTGTTGGAGACAGTGCAAATAGTTTACGCTATGGTTTGATCCAAAGTCATAATGATAATTGTACAAGGTTAGGCGGAAGAAGACAGCTTCTTGTGGATGACTAGCATTGCACCTTTATAATGCATTCCCCTAATCGGAGACGGATTAACAAACATCGGTCGTACAAATAGGAAACTCCCAAGGCTGCAACTTTTCGATGTCAAAAGAATAGGGTTTTCCAGCGCGCAAGTAACGCAATCAAAACAAGATGTAAGAGGAAAGGGCTCGACAATAGGTACATATCCCTGACAATTTGCAGTCACGCCCGACCGAGAGCTGTTACATTGACGTGGTGGTCAGGCTTGTACATCACAACCATCCAACAAGCTACGCTGGCTAGAACGCATCTCCCTCGGACGTCATACCATGCTAGGCGGAAAACAGTTACCGTCGTAGTGTATATTACTACACTAAGATGGAGGTCTGAGGGCGAAGTCGTACTTCTACTAGCTGGATGAGGTGTGGCAGCAGTAAGGCGTTTCCCTTGGATCACCATCAGTCCCAGGTTGATACTGCTTTCCCTCTATGAAGGAGGGGTTCGAAAGTGTCACCACCCCCCCCCCGGAAAAATAACTGCGCCCCGCTGTCTTTCTAGGCTGGTGGTACGGGTTTCTTCTATCTGGCGTTAGAACAGCTGAACCTCAAGAAGCAGTGTAACACGTCACGAGCAGATGACCCATGGGTTCTGCGGTCACACAATTTTTTTCTCCTACAGGCGCCTTAGGAAGAAATGGCCTTCCACAGTGTGGGCAGCTGGAAAGTGTCAATCACCGCAAGCTTACAGTAGCACATAAGACCCAATCAAACATAACCTATCCTCTTCACCAATGTCTTTTTCTTTGACTTAAACTCCAGATACTAAAAATAGGCCTCTTGCACCGCCCAACCTCTCACTCTGCGACCGCTGCCAACAATCAAAGCAATCGAAACCCCACTCCTAGTTTCCTAAGACCTTGCCATCGATTTCACGTAATAGCTTTTAACTTACGAACTCTATGACAAATCAGACAGCAAGCATCAATCACCAGAACTCTGGAATCTCTAACAATGGATGGATGCTGTGCCTCTGAGACATTTACACAGGACCTGAATGTGGTTAATAAATTGACCTTACCTCCCCCTACTGGTGAATCTTCAAAATTCACCTTACGAGTATCCAGAGACGTAATGGCTAGCTCTCGTCGACTAAAGTAAACATAAAATTGAGTTGTAGAGCAGAAAGTGCGCCTCTCGGCTGGATACCAGTCATCAGTCATCTATATACTGTTCGATTAAATAAATCTGTAAGGACTAGGAAGGGTCGTGAGACTAGGTGGTGCCAATTCGTTATATCCGCCTGCGCACCCATCGAATGTAGTTCGGATGGTGGAAAGCATGAATTCTATGAGTTGCCAACTCTGCTACAGAAAGCAAAACGTTCAAATGTCACAATGGCAGGTGAATTTAGGGCTCAAGTAGGGAAGCTGAGTCGATTGGAAAGGCTTCTCCATTAAGTATTCACAGAATCCCATACCAACGAACCGACAATGGTGGTCGACTCTTGCAATTGTGTCCCAATAATCTCATGTATCTGGCAGCACTAACTTTAAGCATAAGCAGAGATACTGTCTCACATCCCTGGAGGACTAACGCTCTTTCTGGATTAGACGTTGGGACTCCGATCATGCGTTAGTACTAGTACGTGTATGTCTGTGCTTTGTTGGTCGCAAGTAAAAGACGGTAGTGATAACTGTGTCCTCGACTGATAGATAAAAACATGAAATGAGTATTCAAGGAAAAGATAACATGACAACAATGTTCACGCTAAGGGAACCTGGAGTGATATTAAGTCTGTTGTAGAAACAGCAGCACACATAGTTGACAACCTACATCTAAAGGTCAGCATACGTCAATGGATTTCCCTAACCACATCCAGACTGACTGATGCAAGAATACTGATTCAAGCTGGTTTTGACCACAATGAGAAGCGAAAGCAACTTATACGTAAATTGACTTAGAGTCTTCGCAATGACCGCTGGCAATTGTGAGTGGTGAAAGTAAGAGAAATAGAGAAGGCATCAGCGTTAGGTAACACCATGAAACTATTTAGGCTTTTGGAAAACACCGACAGAAAGAAGCGGTGGTCAGTGAGACCAACATCGAAAAGGATAGGACACTGATAACCTCTCGGGACGGGCTGTTAGAACGTTGGGCAGAACACTTTGGAGCACAGTTTAACTGAGCCAAAGTAACGCTTCAGTTGTTCAGCAGCATCCAGTCTGTATCTGAATATGACGTAGATATCGGCCCTCCAACCCTCCCGAAGATGACTTGAAGTCTAGATACCTGTTGGAATGTCGGTTTTCTGTAGACGGTAGTATCTAAACCATTTTTACGTATGAGGTAGAAAATGAACAAGGAGAATTACCTATGTTGGATGGCAAGATAAAACGAAGGACAGACGGTGGTTTAGATGGTACAGTCTACAGAAAACCAACACATTCTAACAGGTATCTAGACTTCAAGTCATCCCATCCAATGTCAGTTAAGGCAAGCTTAGTCAAATGTCCAAGTAACAGAGCTAGAAAATTGACTAGTTATTTCAAGGACCTAAACATCGAATTGAAACCTATAAAAGCACTAATAGTTAATAATTATCTTCCGCAGTTTATCGAGAAATTCGTATGAACACACAAGAAATGAAAAAATAACAGTAACACTAGTACGAATAATAGCGACAACACAAGTAGAAAGTTCACAGCCTCCATTGTATTACCATACAAGGAGGGCACATCAGAAACTTTACGTAGGGTCCTCAACAAAGCTGGTATCAGCGTGGCATTTAAAACTACAAACTTACCCAGAGATAAGCTTTGTCGGTTGGCTTCAAGATCCGATAGAACCAATTAAGCAAAATAATCTAATCTATCAAAGTCCATGTAGTGACTGTGAGGTCAAGTACATACGTCAAACTAGCCGGTCGGGTCAATTAGAATAGCCAAACATAGGAATTTCGCTAAATGTAGAATGATAAACCCGATTAAGACCAATAATCTGGAAAAAAACTCGGCTATTGCACTGCATGCATTTCAACATGACCACACAATAGGGTGGGACAAAGCCACTGTACTTAAGTTCAACATCGAATCAACACTCAACACATGTAATAGAAATGACGCAATATCTATACCACAGAAATGGAAGGTTTCACTACCAATAAAAACAAATTATATGAAGTGACGTAACTATGAAAATCAAACGTCAAAAGTTGTGTGATTACATTAATATGATTATGAGCAATAATTTATGCTCGAAACGTCATCAAGTAAGTAATACTATATCACTGTGTTATAAATCAAATAAACAAACCTAATACGGAATTAAATTTTACCACAGTGTTCAAGTTTTACACCTATATGAAGGTTAAAGCAAATATTCAAGTCTTGGAAAGTGACAGGGAGTAAATACATTTAACCCATTGTGATAGATTTTCAGATATGTCAACAGGAGTCCTCACCCAATGATTCCTTTCCTCTCGGTCTCAAACTACACAGTCTATATCGCCGCATACGACTCAGACCACCAATAAGAGACTTCATCGACTAGTGCCAAGTCTTGGTCTGGACACTGAACCCTCTTTCAATCTTATCCAACTTCCCCCAGTATGGCACAAGGTAGACGAAGACTTGGCATGTGCAACAACATGTCCAAGTCGTGTCAGTCGACTAAAGTTCACAACCTCACCAATCGACTGTCCTTTGTTGTCTAGTACCCTTCACCTGTCCTTAACATTTGTCAACTTGCATCATCTGTGGCGCAAACCGGTAAGATATCCGACTATCTATCAAAGGACAAGTATACTGCGTTATAGTCCGCTCTGTCCTGTTGTACGCTGAGGCATAACCGTTAAAAGTGGGGGATATGAACCTACTGGTGTTTCGATCATAGATGTCTTCAAAGCGTTGCTCGCCGCGGGTCCCTGAGACGATAAGAGTCAATGACAGGACTCTTGGTGATATAGCTGAAAATCGGTCTCATTGGCGACGTTTTCGCTCTTAGACGTCTTGTAAAGCCTGATTATTCGCAACAACATATCTTCAAACTGCATATTCCTTCATCACACAACCTTGTCTACTTTGATATCACTCTTTATATCCATTTGTTCTTGGTATACAACTATGAAGTGAGTCATCTTAGGTGGATTCACTTGTGCGCGACGTTCTACAATAATTTTGTCTGTCCTTTACATCTCTATCCAATATTATGTATTCTTTTTGCACGAAACCTCA